TCCTCCAATGATGTGACATGAGCGTTTACGTGCAGAATGGCAATCGGTGAATGGATAATAAAGAATAGGTGCATTTTTTGCTTGTGAAATGAAGGGGTGAAACAGCAGTGGGAAAACATGCTTGGAGAAAAGAGACATTGTACTCCTTTTATTTTTATCTATTTTTTATTCATATTAGTGAAAATTATTAATATTTGTAGCGACTATATTTACCGTCATTGAATATACAAAATCTCACAAATGTTCTTGGTATATTTCCCAATGCGACTTTACCAACGTTAGAGTTATTTCCCTTACACCCAATTGGATACTATTTTGACACGGCGCCAATTCTTGTCAAACAGCAGCGGCAGTTGTGTCATGCTCTTAAATTGTTACACTTTCATAAATAAATACACTAGAAATAGCATGCTGTGTTACAAAAATGTTTGATAAGCATACACAGTTCACATATCGTCTCGTCTCGGAGCCATTAGTCTACCGTTATCAACCTAAGCACGATATGGCATATATACGTTACCGTTTCAAACATCAAAATAGAGGTTATTCTTCATCACTCATACGGTTTATAAGTTTATATATTTACTTCTTCCTTCTACAGACAGTGTCAATGTTTGACAGTCTTCACATGTGCGTAACACTCCCCAGACCGCAATCCGAGTTGCTAAAACGCTCAAACCTAGTGCACGAATTTCACCACCACAACACTCGTAGAATGCACCGGAGATAAACATTTTGTTTTCAGCAATTATTTAAAGTATGGATTATTATTTGGAGAAGAGTATCAGAAGTGTCAGAGATTCTACTTTCTATTTACGATAACGAAACTATATAGCGGAAGCATGTCTTGTCTTGTCTTTCGTTCTCTGGACCTAATTAATAAGCCGCTCGGCTCTCGCCAAGAGCGGCTTAAAAAATAATACCTGGATGCACAACTTCAGGTGGAAGTTATCATATCTGGAAACTTGCGTTAAATCTGGTCCATTATGTAACAGTGTCATTATTGACAATGTATTGTTCATGTTATTTAGTTGTTTTTATCAATACTTAATAAGTGCAACTTGTATACGAGCACTTGTCATAATTATATATATATGACAGTGATCTATTTTTAGTTTAGATGTACACCTGTCCAACTGGGGTCAGGGGTTAAGGTATTTTTAAGCCTGTACAAGTTTGCAGCCTGTGTAGACGGAATTCCAAACTTACATGGTTTTGATCTTTTTGACTACAGACCACAATAATTGTGAGTACATCGCATTTTCTATGGTTTTTATATTTGTATAAACCATATACATCGGTAATGTACATTTGTAACATGTAAAACAGATTCAGTAAATTAATTGAATGTTTCAATTAATTCAAATTTGAATTTTCCCGCCATTTTGTTCCAAGTCTTTGTATAGTTTGGTAACGATGATTTTTAGCGAACAGTTTGTAGTAACCGTTATAAATGTCTTTATTTGTAGTTTATTAAATAACCGTAAGTCCACAATGACATACGCGGTACAGGTTGTCTCCCTTGGATCAAAGACCCTCTTCCATTTGAAGAGGTAGGTCGTATTTTGTCATTAATATTTAGTGTCAAAATAACAGTAATTTTATACACTGTACACTATAATTCATTTTCAAAATAGCAACCGCTTGTGACATTTATCTCGTCATTTTGTTATGATCCTGATGAGAGTTGTCTACCTTGAAAACAAACGGAACTTTTTGTAGAGGGATAGAACTTATGCAACGAGTTATTTCTTTACTTTACCAAAAACGACGGAAACAAATTAATTTATGATATTAAAACGGTCAATTTACTGTTCTTTTATAGATCAAAATTACTCTGAATCACGTACACTTTGGACATCATGCCATAGCGCGCTTACGCCTGGAATATTTACATGTCGGGTTACATATGTAACCATAGGCTATACTATCGCATGGTAGCATTTTGTAGGGATCTTGACATTTTATAAAACACTATTTTCACAGAGGTATTTGTTGTAGCATTTGTGAAATGATTTACCTTACAGAGCGTAACTCGCTCGACCACAAATCGTAGCGACCCGAGCTTGTGAACTAGTGTAAGAACGTGAAATGTACAGGTGAGGTCGGTAAACAAAACGCATCAGTCTGCATTCGACGCGCCTAATATACGACCTTCCTGAAGTCGTCTGATCGTATGTCAATGTCTTCCCGCGAGTTAATTAATGTCTTTGTATCATAAGCCTTAGTCTTTGTATCATAAGCCTTATTTCCAAGTAAGTCTCGATATCGGGTGTTGACATATCAGTCACGCACGGCGACAGCGTGTACAAACTTTTTGCAGACTACAATAAATTATATTCAAACTTTTCCTTAAGGATGGTTCGCTTCAGGACAACATAGACAACATATGCAAGTGGACAGACGACTGGTTAATGAAATTAAACACCGACAAGTGTAAACACATGGAAATTGGAAAATTCAGGGGAGGTAACCACATCTACAATCTTTGTTTTCCAGATAGTACAACAGACAGAGAAAATAGAAAACGAGAAGGGTCTTGGCATCACCATAGACAACAAATTGAGATTTTCAGACAATGTCAATATAACGGTTACAAAGGCCAACAGAATCCTGGGTACTATCTTCCGTCCTTTCACATACATGGACGCAGTTATGTTTACTCTATTGTACAAATCACTCGTCAGACCACATTTAGAGTATGGAACACCTGTATGGTCCCCAAATTTTATCATAGACAAAATCTCCATCGAAAATGTGCAAAGAAGGGATACAAAACGGATCAAGAATATATCAAATCTACCATATGATGAAAGGCTGCGAAAACTGGGACTGCCTACACTCTAGTATAGAAGGGGAAGAGCCGACCTAGTCGAAATCTATAAGATCCGAAATAATATCGACCATGTAGATCATGAATATATGTTTAAACTGGCATAGAATGTGGGGACCAGGGGGCATCCAAAGGAGCTGTACAAGAAACCGTTTCGCCTTGAAGTAAACAAAAATGTCTTCAGCAATGGAACAATAACAACATGGAACAGTCTACCGGAAGTGATTGCTACAACAATGAACCTTAACAGCTTTAAACCATAGCATTACCAACAGGTCCAAATTCCGGGCCTCTTTTTACAATAAGTACCATGTACATCGCATGTGTTTTAAATTATGCGACTTTTACAGGTCATTTGAGACCAAATCAACAAGTGCGAACTTTAAACGGTATGCGTGTAAAAAATATACGTGGGTTTCATATAGAGAGAGCTGTTTTTGTCAAGTATAATGTGTGAGCGCGCAACATGAACTATTCCGTCTTTGCGTATTGCAGAGTTATCTTCTCTTGAGAGCAGGTATTGATTGTTACGTCATTTGTTCGTGTGAGAAAATTACGTCGTTTTCTCAAAAATTAATGACGTTACTCTCACAAACAAATGACGTAACAATCAATACCTGCTCTCAACAGAAGATAACTCTGCAATATGCAAAGACGGAATATACCACCACAACTCATCAATGTGTGAATAATGGACTTTTTATCATTTTATGCGCAACTGGGTTGGACATTATAAGTAAATGAAATATAAGCTTACAACGATGTATATTACAGCGAAAGGTTGTGTCCCGGCGTTTAGAGGTTCATCTCCATGCAAACAGTCTCCATGACAACCTGCAATCGGCTTACCGCATTGAACACTATACTGAGACGGCCCTCCTACGTGTACATAATGACATAGTTTCCGAATTGGATAACAAGTGCAGAGCGGTGTTTGCCATGCTGGATTTGTCTGCTGCATTTGACGTCATCGAGACGACCCTAGCATACTTAATTAACGTCTGGAGTACTCTTATGGAGCGACCGATACCGCATTATGCTGGATACAGTCTTATCCGAGTGAACGACGACAGTGTATTGCCATCAGTTCCACCACCTCACAAGACGGGTGGAATGATGTGTTGGATGCCTTTGGCATGGTATTTCAGTGAGGTAGAAGTGGCATCAGATCCAACATACCCGGCCCCATATTCATGAAACGTTCTCATGCTCAAACCAGCTTTCTCGTAACTCACTTAAATCATGTAAAACAGTATTCAGCTTTGTCTTAAACATTTTCGAAATTTTTGAAAATATAAGATTTCTCAATTTATCGCTGAAACAAGAAATAAGGCCCGTGTACAAAAACAATGCTTGAGCATGAGAACGATATCATGAATACAGGCCTGGGTATGTTGGATCTGATGCCAACTTTAGAGTACTACCTCACTGAAATACCATGCCAAAGGCATCCAACACATCATTCCACCCAAAGACATTATACTGGCAATGGGAACATTGATCCTTACAACTAGTTTCTTTTCCCTTTCACCCCTATGCAACTTAAGTAAACTCTTCCATTCATTGATCTGGACGAGTCCATTATGGTCTACAGTGGTGAAAGGGTTAACCCTCTCATCGATCCCTATCTAATTTTATTTAACTCTACCCTGCATTGATGTGGATGAGTCCATTCTGATCTACAGTGTTGAGAGGGTTAATGTTGAACGTCAAGCAGAAGGAAAATTAATCACACACCGGATTACATAATGGCTGAATTAAATTAGAAGACATCCGGGTGGTCCTGTGGCAGAGTGGATAACACACTCGCCTTTCATCAAGGCGGTCAGGGTTCGATTCCAAGGGCAGATGTGAAAAGGTATTGGGTTACCTGCCTGATCATGTGGGTTTTCTCCGGGTACTCCAGTTTTCTCCCACATTAAGATCTCATGCGCTAACATCAGGGCCAATAACATTGATCAATATAAGTTGTAATAACTTGTTTCATAATTGTTGTAAAATATATCAGTTTATTTTAAGACTTGTAGTTGGTGAACCGATACAATCCAGACGGGATGTTGATAAAACAAAAAACAAAAAGCCACTTTTTAACGGAATAAAATTACCTTGTCTTTACTCTTTAAAATTTCTTAACAATATTAAGGCAGTGAATAACAAACCTGTTTGATCAACATTAATAGGATTTATTTAAAAAAATTCAAAACAGCACTTAAGCGTTATATATAGATATGAATATAATGTCAGCATTTCCATTTCCATTTGGATTTCCTTTATCCATCCTCTAAAGGAACAAAGTCATCAACCTAAAAATAAAGAAATAAAAGTTGTTAAATATTTTACAGCTACGGCCCAACTTTATAATCATTAAGTCAAAATCTTATGCCAAAAAAGAAAATTTGGTGTTTCCGATAACCCTACTTACCCTAATAATGTGTGCCTACCTTACCTACATTTTTCCAACATGTTACAGGAAATATAGATTTTTGTGTCGGGCCTTAAAACTGTATGTAAATACTTTGGGGAGGAATTATTTTCCACTGTCGGTCAATGGCAGTAAAATCTTGAAAAAGCAACTCTAACGCTGACAGGTCAGCAATTAATGCCCTGCAATATACCGAACTGTAGCCCCTCCCCATAGTCTATTTTTAGCTACAGTGACCTTGACAACTTTTCAAAGCTCTATTGCACATCTACATATAACATTGTATCACCATGCATGTTAAATTTCAGAAAAATAAGTTCTTTTGGATTCTTAGATTATAACTGAAAACGAAATTTAGGACTATCAGATGTCCTAACAAAAATGGGATGAAATGAAGTAAACTCCCTGGGTTAACATTTCATAGGGCTTTCAGTTGACCCTTGACCTTCAGCAATTTCAGTGGTCATGGTCTAAACACATGTCGATTAGACTCTTCTCTTTAAACCAAGGAGTCAACCTAATTTTTGGTAGCTAAAAACACATTACTTAAGTTACTCCCATGCATTGATCTGGATCAGTCCATAATAGTCTACGGAGGTGAAAGGGTTGAACTTTTTTTTGTGAAAATTACTGCTTAATCTGTTACCTGATCTGTTACCTGAAACTTGTTAATATTTAACCTTCGACATGGAGGTAAAGAACACTGATAGCAGTATGTTAAAAAATGACTGACAACATTTTACTCAAGTTAAACATAAACTTAATTGTGGAACAGTGTACACATTCTGTGAGCAATACACGTACGATTCAAGTTTCATCAACCTATTTGGAATGGTTTGAATTAATGAGACAGATGATGCTTTCCAGGTTTTGGACACTTGACCTCTGACCTTGAAATCCACATCACAGTGACCTCATTATGACATACAGCACAGCATTTGTGTGGATGATGCAGATACAGGTACACATCAAAATCCATCGATGCAGTCTGTATGATTAACGGTCTAAGAATTATGACAGTTTAATTTGAATAATGCAAGACCTTCCATGCAACACATCAATAAATGAGTGTGATGCAAAGATCTAATTTTAATTAGATTGGGAAAAACACCACAAATTGAATGCATGTTTTGTTTATATCTTAAATTACAGGCAAATTTGGGATATACCTTAAATCACAGGCATATTTTGTATAAACACCTTAAATTACAGGCATATTTTGTATAAACACCTTAAATTACAGGCATACTTTCTTTCTATCTAAAGTATTACAAACAGTTCTAGGTGAAGGTAAAATAAACTTACAAAGTCCGGCACTAAGCTCCAGATCGTCTATAGCAATGTCTCCACTCCAGTCGCTCCCTCGCACACCCTCAATCGCAATCTGCAAAATACAAAAAGGAACAGGATATTTCACTGTTTAAATATCCAGGCAATAAGTAATAGAAAGGTCATTACTAAGTCGTCCTTAAAAAAATAAGAACATTAATTTACACAAACCCTTTCTATTTTTTCCTAACTGGTTTGACCGACTATTTATAAACTTAAAAACATTTTCAACAATAATGAAATACATTCAACAATAATGAAATACATTCTTAACTTATATTAATCACTGTTGGTCCAGATGAAAGAGCCAAGGGCTTTTGAACGTGGAAGGAAACCAGCATATCTGAAACCCAACCCTATACAATTAACTAACAAATCTAAAACCCACGTAGTCGGGCAAGTAACCGCCTAAATTTTAACCATTTCAATGAGATCTCCCTCATTCCACATTTCAAATGAGGGAGAAAGTGTACAAAATGTGACCAAAACTGCTTTGCTCAATTTATCTTTCAATTTTTATGTATCAAAATATCTCCAATAAGCATTCATTTGATTGGCATACACCTGACATACACCTGTTATGATCATTACACATACCCCGCAGTGATTAGGAGATCCTTTGACCACAGGATGTAGATTTTGAGTTTGTGCAAGTTTGAACTTGACTGAGGAAGTTTTGAGGGAGATTGATAACTTTTTGTCAAAATGATGAGTCTTACGCTTCCTCCTAATGATGGAGCTTAGACAGCTGTGGTATGGAAGTCCCTGAATATGACAAACCTATTCTATGACAAACCTATTCTATGACAAACCTATTCCAATTCTGTCCTAAATGATAAGAACTCCTTCAATATTACACATGCTGATTATCTTTCATTTGTAATTTCATTCTATCTTGCCTACCTGATGATACATAAAAAAAGTCATTTGCCGTAATTGTATATTTACATAATAATTAAGTGATGAAATTAATGCAATACATTTTGAAAGTAAAACTTTCCCTTAATTTGAGAATACACTATCAGCTTGAAAATACAATAAATGCACGTTTACTAAAAGTTTACACACAGCAAAAAAAGTAGTTTAAATAGACAAATCTAAAATACTAGTTCAGAAATTGTTGGGTAACAATTTTTCAGTCTTTTCACCGATAGGAATGATTTGAGTTCGTTCACAGCCGCGACTTTGAGGAACAAAATGTGCTGTGTGAATAGTCAATGAAAATTCAGTTATACTAAGTATCAGACACCAACTATTGCAAGTTGTCTATGGTAGCTGATAGCGTATTGGGGTATCCCAGAGTGGGAAATGACGTCTGAGATACAGGGGATAGGCAGGGATGTGTAGTGGTATAGGCATGCAGCCAATGAGTGGTGTTGCATATGAAGGAAGTTAGTTCTTCGCGGAAATCATATAGTTCCGACTACTTTCTTAACCCTTTCACCCCTATGCAACTTAAGTTAACTCTTCCATGCATTGATCTAGACGAGTCCATTATGGTCTACAGTGGTTTAAGGGTTAACCCTCTCATCGATCCCTATCTAATTTTATTCAACTCTACCCTGCATTGATGTGAATAGCTATGACTATATTCTTGCTTCAAAATTATGAATTAAAACTTATTTTGTCTACTGTATAACACGAATGGTTCATGGGTACTTTCCTTCATGGTTTGAGGCCATTTAGATAGTTTTGTGGTACAAACTTTCATGGATATCCAATATTAACAAGAGGCCCATGGGCCTAAACGGTCACCCGAGTCTACAGTATTTATTTGTTGTTGAAATATGTACCAATTTGAGTAAAAAATAGTATAATGTTATCTTCACTTTGTCAGGACCATGAGCTGATCATTCCTACAAACTTTCAGTTCAATCGGCCCAGCAGAACTTGACTTTAAGTTTGAAATGTAAAATGTTAACGGACGACGACGGACGAAAACGGATAGCAATAGGTCACTTGAGCTAAAGCTCAGGTGACCTAAAAACAGTAGACATGAACATCATTCAAAACTGTATTTATTTTCGTGGTTCAAAAACGACCACTAAAACCATGAATGTTTACACACAACGAACATTTCATACTATACATTATATCAGTACAGTTTGGCAAGCAAAAGAATGATTCAAACCGTACTATACAATAAACTACGTAGTATTATGTATTATATTAAAAGCTTAATGTTGTACAGACAGGGGGATATATTAAGCTAAATGTGGTACAGATAAGGCGTGTATATTAAGCTACATGTGGTATGGCCTGGGGGATTATAAGCTAAATGTGGTATGGACAGGGGGATTATAAGCTACAGGTGGTATGGACTGGGGGATTATAAGCTACAGGTGGTAAGGACAGGGGGATTATAAGCTACAGGTGGTACGGACAGGGGGATTATAAGCTGCATGTGGTATGGACAGGGGGATTATAAGCTACATGTGGTATGGACAGGGGGATTATAAGCTACATGTGGTATGGACAGGGGGATTATAAGCTACAGGTGGTATGGACTGGGGGATTATAAGCTACATGTGGTATGGACTGGGGGATTATAAGCTACATGTGGTATGGTTAGGGGGATTATAAGCTACATGTGGTATGGACAGAAGGTATATTAAGCTACACATGTGGTTTGAATTTTGGGTATGATAAACTCAACATGGTATGGACTGGGGATATATTAAGCTTAATGTGATATGGTATATATGAGGCTATAATAAGCTCAATATGGTAGACAGTGCGGTTTGCGGGTGAGGGGTAATTTGAGCTTACCTGGTAATATGGTACGGACAGGGGTGGGGGGGACGGGGGTGTATAATAAGTTCAATGTAAATAGTGTGAGGGTATTATATGCTCAATACGGTACGGACAGGCGAGTCAGTGGGTACATTAAGCTTAATATACTACAGTCTGATGGTATGGTCCTGTGTACTAGGTGGCTTAAATAAATGTATCAGTTTACCAATCAAACTTACCACAAGATCAGCTGCTGTTGGCAAGCTGACTTCAGTGTACACCCAATCGTTTCCTTGTGCGCCTGACAAGCTCCAGACTGTTGTTTCAGAACCTCGCTCGCCGGACAGTACAATTAGATCCCCAATTGAAGTACCCTTCATGTGAAAGTAAAACCGCAGGCATCGATTCATGGCTGAAAAAAAGAATTGACTGTAAAATTGGATTTCCACTTGCATAAAATACGGCATAAAGATTGGATATTAGTTTCCTATACTTTACCCAGAATATGTTACTTGTGGATAAAAGAACAATACAGTGGAATCCGCCTTACCCACTGCAGAAGTAATCCAACATCGTTTATTGTATTTAACATAATTAGTAGGGGTGTCAATACACCTACAGTGTATCATGATATATCGTCATTGGAAAAAGGTATTCATTTTAACTCATTCTCCCCTACTTATTTAAACTGGACTTTGATTTGGTAAGGTTCAAATGTGACTTTAGGGGTGAATGGGTTAAAAAGAAATTGTTGTCAGAATTGTTATCAAACTGTATCTTCTTTAATATGGATAGCAAAGATTTACTATTTTTTTTTTTTTTATATATCAACCATCGATTATGAAATTTCAACCGACTCCCACCACTAGTTATAACCCTGTGTATGGTTATTGGCATATCTGCAAAGTTAAAAAATATTGCGATACAGTGATATTAAATTCAATTTTGTATTACAATAGCATACATGCCTGTGTTTACAAGTTTATCAATACATTGTACATTGTGACAGAAAGCCCTAGAAATTAGCGCACATGAAAAATTGGCTGGAGGGGACGCTTTTAACTCATCTCACCCGAAATTTTATAATGATCCATTCCAACCTTTGAATTGAAAGAGTTCAAATGTGTCTTCAGGGGTGAAAGGATTAAGAGAACAAAACAAAGATTGTGGCTATTGCTGTACAGGCCACATGATACTGTATACAGGGAAATGTTCACGCTTTGACGGCAAAATATGTTTTCACCCAACATTAAATCTGCCTTTTACATTTAATTATTATGTTGCTTGGGAAAGAATGCATTTATATCAATGCCCGAAAAAGAGAAGAGGCACTTAATATAAGGGAAAGGGCTCTTACTATATATTGAAAAATGTTCGCCAAGACAAACTTTCGCCCTTCACCTGTAAAATCCATATTTGCCCATTTTTAATTTGCCCTTTACATTTAATTGCTGTGTATATTATGTTGTTTACTTATATTTGCTGTAATGATAAATTCTTCATCACAGAGGGTGAAAAAGGCAAAAATTAAACTGCAGAAAAATATTCCCGGTATACTGTATGAATAGACACAAATTGGATCATATGTGTGGTTTCGAAAACCATAACAGAGGCATATTACAACCTGTATTTAAGAAGATAAATCGTACGGAAAGGTGACACGTGGTTTGAGAAACTTAACTGCCGCAACACACTAAGTTTTGGACCTACGTAGGAAAGTAGTCTGCTCAGAGCTGAGGATTGCATTATCTCCACTAATTCTAGGGGAGGAAGCTTCGATAAATGCATATTTTGATCCAGTGTGGGCATTATCTGGTCCAGTGTTTGAGCTTGGGGTGCCTCCCTGAAAAATAAACAGTAGCAAGCGTAACACAGGGCTGAAAATAATATACTCCGAGCTCCCGTGGCAATGCGACTTCCCTAAAATCATTCTCATCCATCGTTTTACCTCGGTGTATGAAAATATGGCAATGTAAGAAGAGCATTTGTACTATATTACTTATTAACCCTTCACCCCTAGGTAATTACTCGAGTACTCTCCCATACATTCATCTGGGCGAGTCCATTATGGTCTATAGTGGTGAAACGGTTAAATTTCAGAACTATTTCTTGAATGTGGTGAAAGGAAACAACATACTGTACTTGACCAACTTAAGCTTTAAGGAATATTTCATATATTCTTTTCACCCTTAAATAATTGATTTTCATAGGAATGGTCTCCCTTTGTATATATTTCAAATCATGAGAATAAAAATTGAAATTGCACCTTTTAGCCAATAATCGATTTATCCAACACCATTAAAACTAGAGGTATTTCTATGTTACATTAATTACTGGCAGATTTTGCTATAAATCAAAGCGTAAATATTTTGACAAAGTAATTGTGCAGAAACCGTCAACTAATTTAATATGCGTGGTTTTTGCTCAACTTTGAACTTAATTAGCCTCAACCTTTGTATAATGTACAGGCATACCAAGTTTCATCAAATATTTAAGCAATTAAGCTATCTTCTGGGAACTGAAGTTTGAAAATTTACCAATCAAAGCACATAATCCTAATAAATTATGTGTGGATTTTGCTCAATTTCAAAGTTAACTTCAGTTTTTATATAATGTAGATGCATATCAAAATTGAATGTTATTTAAGCAAGTTATCTTGCGGAAACCAAAGTATTGAAAAAGACGCTCACCATACCATAATACATCCTGTCGAAATTTTTGACAGGTGCCTAAAGCATACAATAATTCTGAAATAGGCAAGGTGCACTTGACTTGATTGACCAACAGTAACATTTTATACTTTGAACCCAGTTACAGGTTATAGTTGACCGAGTTCATCTTTATTATTCTTTTATTCTGGGGGTTTACTTCATCCTATTAACTCATTCACCCCTGTAGTTTAATAATGAACTATTCCAACCTTTGAATTGGGAAGAGTTCAAATGCGTCTTCAGGGGTGAAAAGTACGGTTTTCATTTCAGGAATGATTTATCAAAGATGAATTCATGCAAGAACAAGGACTCCACGGGAGTGGATGTGTCGCCTGCTCAGCGCCTTTAATAAGAAGTTGAAACTCGACAGAAAAACCATTCTAACACGATTCGTTTGCGACGCGCATTTTGATTGGATACGGACCATGTTCTTATCTGCGATAGATCATGATCAATCGTGTTAAGCTCCTCCCATCGCACTTAAGCGACGCCCTTTTTCTAACCAAAACAATAAGGCGTCCAGCTCGCTGATAAGGCTAATAGGCAACAGAACAGAAACGACCGATGAAATGCATTTGTAGAATGAATTAGAAAGTAAAAAGAACACATTCCTTGTTCTTACCTTCTTTTATTATTGAAACGTTTGTTCCATTCGTGTGAAGGCATCTATTTAGATCCAAAATCAAATAAAACATTTCACATGTGTCATATGCATTTACACAAAACTCTTCACAAATCTATACAATTAATCACAGATTTGTATGCATGCTGACATGGAAATGTAAGAACTTGGTCAATATTAATCCAAATGTGTCGTATAAACTTTGGAAACAGGACGTTCATGAACAATACAAATATTCTGCCTCGTCAACATACAGATCAAGCTCTCGCCAGTATGGGCGAGGCCAAATGACCGACTTTTGAAAGCTTCTTTCCGATTGGTCAGTCAGCTGCAGAATGACACGTCGCCAGTTCAGGTCACAAAGTATTTCACTACGTACTTTTTGTACGTGGAAATACAATGTTTCTAAACATATCAGCGTAGTATATTTGTTAAGGTGTGTTAGATTGGGGGTAGTCAATGTTTTTCCTGTCTATACTGGCGATTAGAACATGAAATTTCATTTAAACTCTCGACCTATCGGTCTCGAGTTCAAAACCAAATTTCATGTTCTAATCGCCAGTATAGCCACTCAAAACAACGTACTATCCCCTAAATAATATATGATTGCTTCTAGCATTACCGTACAAAATTTGAATGGAATTGTTTAAAAATAAAAAAAGGTTCTTTCAATTACTACACGATGCCCTTGTTTGGCAATAAAAAGGGCATAACTCCAACAAAAATGCACGTAAACTTCTGAAATGCGAACTTGTCCGAGCTATATGAAAATGCAATGTGTACCAAGTGTGAGTTCAAACAACCCAAGGTAACTCAAGTTATCGTACGGAAACCTTGGTTCGGACGACGCAGACAAAGTAATACTATATGTCGGCGACACAAAAAACACGTTCCGATGCATTGGAACAGTGATCCTTGTAATTATAATTTTACACTTGAACTGTCATCCGGAGGATAACGAATACCCCCCTCAAATGCTAGTAGTTTATAAATCATCTAGTGACCTTGACCTTGGGGTTTCCAGACAAATTATTTCGCAGAAAGGACCGTAACTCCCATAACAATTGTTGTAATCTGAAAATACAATGCCGGTGCACAACTACATAATATATACGGATCATTCAAGTGAAGTTTCAGTGAAATCTGCCTGTCGGTTAAGATAAAGTTTTTTCGGACAATTTTACTGTGGACGACAGACATCCAGACAGATGGACATCCAGACATCCAGACAGGGTGGTTCCAGTATACCCCCCAAACTTTGTTGCGGGAGGTATAAAAATATAACTACACCTGTAGTAGAGCTGCTACAATATATCGTGATATATTTTGAACACAGTACAGTACACAGAAGTGAGTATTTTATGGGAGGTAATGATACACCTAGGATATTCAGGGTTTTGACGATTCTGAATTCAATCTGCTCAGATTGGTTCAAGCATGGCTCGTGACAGCTCCAGATTGGCATGCACTTGGAAATTCATGAATTATGTGAAACTTTATAAAATTATGCCTATTTTGGACCAAGTCTATTTACTGTTGTAATATTGCCATTAAAAAATTGCAATACATCTTTTCTCTTTGCTTCTATTGTTACTAATGTATTGTGCTACGTATCGAATCGTGACCACAGTATGGAGATACGTATTGTGTTGTCATGTTAATGCATCGTTGCAGCCCTATAGTAACCGGAGCCGTTTGTGTGATCAGTCCATCAAGTTGACAGTCTATTGTTGAAAACCTACCTGCTTTATTGTCCAATCAAAAATGTCCACTGCAGCATTGACCTGCTCCAGAAAACAGTAGGCTCCATCTTCAAATGTGCAGGTCACAGGAACACTCCCTGGTAAAATGAACAACCAAATGTAAATACTTCAGGGCTAATTTAAATCCAATGTATAATTTGTAATTTCTTTAATTAACTCATTCACTCCTGAAACCACATTTGAACTCGTCCATTTCAAAGGGTGGAATAGTTTATTATGAAATATCAGGGGTGACTGAGTTAATCTTGCTATATTGGTGGTCACCCAAGATAACACTAAATTAAATATCCACAAACTGATCATAATTTGGTTAACTCATTCACCCCTGAAATTTCATAATGAACTATTCCAACCTTTGAATTGGAAGAGTTCAAATGTGTCTTCAGGGATTGAACAAGTTAATACAGTGAATTCAGAGATACTAGAAAAGACCTGTTCATTTTACTGCCGAATTATGCATTCATGTATATTCCTTACATTTCATTGAGCTTTTCGCAGCGAGTCAGAAATCAAAGCCCCGACACACCTGTTGGATAGACAAGCATCAAACCCTCTGAACCCTTACCATCTGGGTTTTCACATAATACGCCCGTGAATCCTGCATCACAGGTGCAGACGAATCCTACAGCACTGTTGTCATTGGTACAAGTTCCACCATTCCTGCAAGGCATTGTAAAGCATCCTGCAAGAAAATAAATCAGTTGTCAATCCCGAATTATTTTGACACTTTCAAGTTTCCAGCTAGAGAGCAAAACTATTTTTTTTGGAAATTATTTTTATCATTGACTCGGTACCAGAGACGTATAATACATTATTATACGTCTCTGTCGGTACCTAGCCAATATTCAGGGTTTGAGAACAATATTCAACCATATTAACTCATTCACCCTGAAATTTCATAATAAACTATTCCAACCTTTGAACGAGAAAAGTTCAGATGTGTCTTCAGGGGTGAACGAGTTAAGGATCCCCGTTCTATTGCAGATATATTTTTTCATATATACAGTATAACCTCCCCTTAATTTTGTTTAAAATATAAATAGTAGCACAGTTGGGCCAGCGTAAACGTATTTGCATTGACCAGGTAGCTCAATTGGTTAGAACAATACTTATAACAGTCTGGGGTTCGAATCCTGGTCTAGCCGAACGGTGTTCCAACACCAACACTGTTGTTGGTTACGTTATTTCATCTTTATTGTTTTTATAGAAGTCCTCCAAGGTATGGTCTTCATTTCAGAATTAATTCATCATAGATATAGTCATGTCGGAGAAAAGTTTCCAATGTGTCTTTTACAGTTTTTGGCAGTGGTACTGGGATCCTCAACTCATTCACCCTTAAAGTGCATTTGAACTCTTCCAATTCAAATGTTGGACTGGTTCATTATGAAATTTCAGGGGAGAATGAGTGAAGGAAGTAATAGTGCAGTTTGTGATTATTAGCAGTGTTTTAAATAACTGTATTTAAAATTAGTCAAGTTATCAACAATGTATTGTTGAGCAATACAAATCCTGTTAATCATCCCAGAAACAATTAAAAGCTATAAAGTGGAAACGGATTTTCTATTTATAGTAACAGTGACCTTGACCTGTGACCTAAAGAATCAAGACAATGCAGTTTGTTTTTACATGTTACTTTTATTACTGGTGTACTACAAATCCAATATTTATAAATCTTAAATTAGATTTCTTAGCCTGTATTTCGTCATTTAAGAATCACATTTTGTCTCTTGTACATGATTTCAATGGTAGCATATTCCCGAGTCAAAGTTCCGATGATTCAAATTTTTTGATGGTCCCGCAAAGATCAAAGTTTGACTGTATTAATATAGTATGTTACAATTCTTAATGCAAAATGATACTGTGAAATCACTAATTTTTGTGGGGTTTTAAAATTTCGTTTATTTATATAGTGACTTAATTATCATCATTCAAGATTTCCACAATCAATTAAAAGCTTGACATCAAGTCATCTCCGTATCATGGTATTCACAAATTAATGTAATCGACGATATGGCGTTTCTTGGGGGGGGGGAAATCACAAAATTCGGGCAATCTTGACAGGTGTTAATCAACTACAAAGGGTTCTGCAAAAGTTCTTTGTGGTGTAGAATAGTCTACTTGTAAATCCAAGGGTTTTCAAAGTAAACAGTCAATGTTTTTTATCAATTTATCAAATGAAAGGCATAAATGCAAAGAAAGGTGACATTTGTGTGACTATAAACCCAGATATATTTCTTTATTCTGGTTTAATCTTTCCTGTCACAGTTGTCTCCCTTACCACATGTTCCTGTTTTCAGTTCCACGTCATCAATAGCAATGTCACCGCTCCAATCATCTCCTCGGACTCCAGTGATGTAGATCTACAAAGGCAGAAATAATTAAAATGCACGCCTGGATTATGTCAAGGCCAAATTGAAGGCTCGTTGTCGACTACTAATTGAAATACTGATGTATCATGATAGAGGCAAACAAAACAATTTGATACAATACACAAGAAAGTATCATGATATGAAATGATATATCATTGCAATTAGAAAATGAATAAACAAAAGCACTGATAAACTAATGTTTATTTTTTGCCATAAATTTTACTGTAAGAAACAGCTACAGTATTGTAGAGGACATTTTGGTAATCACATTATTTTTGTACAATTGTGGGATCATTGATAATATTTTCACATTTTTGTCAAATGCTGGCAATATCTTCCAAATTCCTGCTCAGGGGCATTTTCCCAAAGTAGCTGGCAAAACCTCCGATTTCAAAAGGAGGCAATAAGTGGTATTTCCCCATAATGCATCACTGTACAAACCTGTCCATTGTTCATAGCAGGGATTTGCACAGATGCCGTCTCCCAGTTGTTTCCCTGGTTTCCAGCTCGTAACCACAATGTCATAACCTGCTGACTGTCCAAGTGAGAAATCTCAAGACTGCCAATGCCGCTTCCATACATGTGATAGGCAAAGGACAGACAGCGCTGAGCAGCTGTAAGAACACATCAAAATTAACATGTACCACAAGATGTTCTTCTGGAAAGCTGAAAGAGGTCTGCTAAAGACTTTAGTACATACAGGTGGATTTATGTTTGAAGAAATATCATGTTTCAACTCATTCTCCCCCGATGAAATTTCATAATGAACTATTCCAAGCTTTTAATTGGAAGAGTTCAAATGTGTCTTCAGGGGTGAATGAATTCAATATACAGCATGTAAGTAGTCTTAATTATTACCAATATATTCTGTTTGTGTAAGGGATTGTTTCTACAAGCAGTTACCTCCACTAAATGTACCCCGTACCAAAAACAGTACAGATTCTTTTTTAAAACTAGAAAATGTCTAAGACATAAATGCCCTCGCTGCCATGTGAAATTAGTTTGTGTTCTATAAAAAGTTACAACCACTTTGATCTTGATACCCTGAAACATGCACACACACAAGGTACTACACTTGATTTAAATATTCATGTTTTTTCTGCATGTTATTACCATCTCCATAACATATTGAGTCATAAAGTGTTTAAATTGAATCAGTTGATGATTTTCTATATATGGCAAGTGTGACCTTGGCCTTGACCTTGGATGCCTGAAACACAACAATATCCAAAGTATACTCATACTTGACCTTTGTATAAAGTTTGACCATGAAAGAATGAAGTTGCTAAGTGTTTACATTGAATCGGGACGGGACGGACATAGGCAACACTATATGCCCCCCCCCCCCCCATTTTATGGCGGGAGCAAAACAATAAAATGTTGACATTGAAAACTTTTTAAACCCCCATTCTGATGGATGTTTGAAAACACTTGATTATCGCAACTTACAATTGGTACCCAAATCCGCGTAAAACTCTGCAATTTCATATTCTATTCTAGGCCTGGAGGTTTCAATGAAAGCGTACTTGTTTCCTTCAAATGCCGATGATGGCCCCGTATCAGAGCTAGGGGTGCTACCCTGTAAAAGATTTAGTAACATAAAATCAGAAATTTTTCTAAACCTTATGGATAAATATGAAAATCAATGCTTTTTCTTGACCAATTATCAATGCATACATCAATCATTAATCACCACTGTAGACCATATTGGACTCGTCCAGATCAATGCATGGTAGAGTCTACTCAAGTTATAGGGATGAAAAGGTTAAATACTGCATGTAAATCACGAGGCTGCCCTAGTCTGGCAATGACCACCACTGGTCAGTTGCAAGATGTCCTGTGCCGCAGGGGGTCAGTGATGTAGCGGGGGAGGGGGACTGGAGGACATATTCGACAGGTGTTATTCACGCATGATCAGTCAACCTTAAAGCAATCATGTCTGGGTCCTCTTAGCATGGTCAGTGGATGATCAATTTGAGGATTTAACAACTGTGTAAGACTTGGAAAACAAGAGCTGTAGGAGAACAGCATAGCTCGTCTATTAACATTATTTTTGTAAAAAGTGCTAATAGTAATTGGGCCATTACAGAATGTCCCATCTTAGATAATAGATCAGGAAACTAGAATTACATTGTCAATGGCACACTCCCGCTATCCCCCCAAAGTAACCCCTAACACATCCCCACACGATTACCATATGCAAAAATAAATTACCGTAAATAAAATGTAGAACTCATGGTTATGTTTGATGATATGCTAAAAGACTATCAAAATAAATTGACCCCCATGACTCCACCCCTCTAGCCCGGCCCCTAGAGGTCATATCAAAATTCTGAAAGTTTGGTGCACTTCCCCATGCATATATCTACCATGTCTAAAAGTTTCAAGTTCCTACTTCAAACAGTGTAGAAAAAATTATTTTACCCCTTAGTGCGGGGTCAGGGAATTCATTTGTACAATCTTGAATACCCTTCCCCTAAGGATGCTGCCTGCCAAATTTGTTTGAAAGCTGCCCAGTAGTTTCAAAAGAACCAGAACTTGCCCTTAAACTTGAACCAATTCCAAAAGACTTTTGATTTGGACCAATAATGAGCAAATGTGGTCCAATTTGTTGGTAAGGAGCCTCCAAGCAGTTACTGTAACCATATTACAATGAACAATTAGTTAAAAGTTAGTTAAACACCAAAACACAGCTTGCCCAAAAACTTGAACCAAGTGGGACGGCGACTGCCGTGGGTATTGCTATAGCCCCCCTATTCTTCGAAAAGCAAAACCTTGATACAGCTATTTTTAGCTTACCTTTATTGCACATAACAATTTATCAGCCTGTCAATTATCAGAAAGTTTACCCGTTAGGGTTCCGATTATCTTTGAAAATGAAAAGTGTGGGCTGAAGAGTGATTAATAGTACTATATGGCACATGCATTTCTGATGTGGGACTTGGTTGACAATAGATTTAACTTACACTTTTGGTAGACCAATCAAAGTCATCTTGCTGGTCTTGGTGTAGGAAACAGTGAGCGCCGTCTTCGAAAGAACAATGGAGCAGGCTTTCACCTAATTGGGGAAAAAACAATTTAATTAGGCTTAAGTGTCATCAGAAGAGGAACTTGCATACTGTAAAGTGCTCTTTTTTCGCGGGGGTTAATATTACGCTATATTCGCGAATTACTCTCAAAGTGCAATTTCAACACCCTTGTAAGAATTTTGATTATAGGTCTGCCATAAATTTATCACCATCAATATCATCAGTATCACGAAGTTGGACTTTGGTCAGTTACTAAAATGAACTTTTAAATTGCATCATTAGAACATGTGCTACTATCACCCTCGATGTTTCTATGATCAGGAAGAATAGAGGATGACGGTACCTGAACATCAAACCTGAGCATTTTTCAACCTCCCATCAATCGACATTTTCTTTTTATGAACAAACGAATGCCAAATCCGAATTCAATATTCAATATGCATGAAGTGTAACGTAGATAGTTTTATCTGTGCTTGACGGCACCCGATACTAGTATGTAGGTTAGACGTCGACAGAAACCAGTGGAACGCAAAAGAACTCAGTGTTGGAATCTGTGTATAAGGCTCATTTAAAACCCCGCAAATAAGTTCCCGGTACAAAAACAGGAAAAGTTGACACCGCGCTATTAAGGCACTTAACATGTACAGTACATGATTTGGCAATTGTAATGGCAATATTTTGCGAGGTCTTCAATGTTTACTAGTTTGGAAATTTGTAATTATCAGGGTTGCCTACTCTAACGGCACGAGAGACAAACTCACGCTAAAACATCCTAAAAGCGTCATCACTCACGCCGAAACATGTTTCACGCCACGTGAGCCATAAATCTCACGCATTCATTATTTTTTGCAGTATAAGTGGCGAACAAAATGCAACGTTAATGCACCAAAGACTTGTAGAACTAAACACTTTTCAATCTGATGTGATGAACAAAAATAACGAGGTACATATATAATCATGCAACAAATAAATTGAATCGAATATAGCAAGTAAATGATCAGGGGCTGTTTGTTGCTTTGGATACTGCAGTATCCAGAAATAATTGGAAAATTATCATATTTTTTTGTATCTTTCATGTTAATGAACTTTTCATATTACTACGTACTATGGTAAATTTCTTATTATTATTCTTATTTCTTTTCATAAAAACTGTTAATTTTCTTTGACAGGTCATGGAACATCCCATATGCCATACTAGCAATATTGACAGCAAAACAAAAAAAGTGACTGGTACCTGTTCTAGCCAAGAAAGAAATCCTTACAAGAAAGTCTGTTGATTATAATGTGTTAAATTGCATTTCTGATGTCAAGTTGTTTGTGTGATAAATAAAAATCTAATATATATCTGCAAAAAAGGTTTTGTTTTATTTCCTGCAAAGATCTTGAAGGTCACAGGAGTGTATTGCTAAATGGAAATAGGAAGTACATGCCTAGTTGAAAATCCAATGTAGGGAGACAGTATCACAATTTCCGCATATTCTAATGTTTAATATTAAACTGATGAATATTGTATGCGTATTGACAGCACAGTGTGTTCTTTCAATATTAAAGTATTGCAAAGCAATCCAGGTATTAATTCAGTTGGTTTTTAATCAATGAGTCACATGTGTCCATTTTCCTGTACTTCAGGAAACCGGCTACCTATTTCACTACTGTGAAGTTTTTCAAGAACGATAACTCTTGCATGCAATTACTATGTGTATATGGTTTTATTATAAAATGTCAATATTTAATCGTTTATAGATCATTAATTTTACACAATTTCAGCATTTATGTAATTGATATACATATACATTAATGCAATACTTATCTATGTTATAGTATCATTTTTATTGACATTATTTTGCAAATAAATTGTGTTTCAATTTTTTTTTCAAAATTCACTCATTTTTACATAAATTTCCATTTAAAATCCTTAAAATTCGACAACCTATATTTTTTTGTGGCAGAAAATGTTCTTTACTTCAAAGCAATATAACTACAAAATTTGAATAAATTCTACTGAGAAATGGCGACACAATCCTAATACTTTATAGTAAAAAGATCGACAATGCAGGTGTTACAGTAGTAGAGAAAGCCAGGTTTGTTTGATACATTTGTAAATGTTATCTTAACACCGAAAATGACTTTTCTCTGCGACGCCTTCAAAAGTCTTGCACTTATGAAAACCCAGTGGAGGGAGATCTCCCACACTGGCCTCATTAGAGGTTGGCAACCCTGGATTATCAATTTTATCTTGTACACAATGAACATATCAAACGCATCACAATATGTCAAGAAAGACAAGCTTTAATTGAGCGAGAAATTTGTATGTTTTTATTTTTCGCTTTACTTGAGGATGATTTTGCCTATAAATAGAATGTATACACACTGTATCGTATAAGCATTCAATACAGTCTTTATACACTATAAGCAAAACATCCAATTGAGCGACAAATGAATTCTATAATTTTCTTCACATTGTTGCACAGGTTTGACATGCAATATGTGTAATAACCACACCGTTTGTGTTAGGTCAGGAACGGGTAACTGAATACCCGGTTGCAGTTCCGTTATAGTACTATCCGAAAACCGTCCAAACTGTTTGTCAATATTTACTGATTTTCATGATCAAATTTTTTATTCCTTACTGCTGTTTGAGAGACCTCGTAAACACTTGTGATCAGTATACTTTCTTTATCATTGAATGCAAGTATACAATACTTTGTATGTTAAAACTTTTGACCGACATTCTGTCGAACAATGTTACATTCACAAACACCTATCTTCCGTGTTCCACTGAAAGCGATGCACAGAAATACATGTCTGTAGCTTTGAAAACACATGAGTGTAAAGTGAAACTACGAAAATTTCCCAGTCTGGAGGTTAGCGTTATGCAGCCAATTTATAAAGGTTTTGAGAATTTGCAACGTTTGAAAACTATATATTTTACAAGGCGTAAGTACAGAGTTATCCTTGTTTATGCATTTAGTGAATAAGTAATCATACTTTTATCAAAATAAAGGAACATTAATGGCTGAATTTCATGGTAGTTACAGTTACCCGATTTTGGTTCAAATAAGCACACTCAGTTATCCATTTTCGATATCCAGAGGTTAGGCTCACTTTCGCTCATAGCTAAATAGAAGGCTCAGGATGCACCACCAACACCATGTTGCAGTTGCCTAACAGTGAAATTGACTGGCTTTGAAGTCAGATGTCAGTCCTCTGTAATCTTCAAAGGAAATATATCAGCCTAGCATTTGGTAAAGTCTTTTTACCTGCAACCAATCCAGGATTGCAGAGAGCAAAAGTGAGTGCAACCCCTGGAGTTTCGAGGATGTATGTTATCGAAATACAAATCGCTCTCTTAGTCAAAGCTCTACAAACAGACCAGTTGGTTTTTAAATGATGCGACACATTTAATATGTATATTAAATTGTTTGTATCTGGAGAAAATCTTGGATATCGTATATTTCCAAACGGATGAATGTTATTAAAGTCAGAGGTCGAGTTGGTCATTGACCTAACCAAACACTGATGTCATCACTTACCTAAGGTTTCGCACAATCCTCCAGAAAATCCGGGGGGGCAGGTGCAACTTACCTGTCCCAGTGCATCCTCAGAGCAGGTTCCACCATTTTGACATGAGGATACAATGCAGCCTTCAACAATTAGAACACACATTCTGACCAAATTCAAACGTTTCTCTGTAGAAAATTTTAAAGTCATTTTACTGGTGTATAAAACATTCTTGAAAAAATAAAATTTCTCTAAAAATGATAAAGGTAATCAACATAGTAATTTCTGTTATTAAAACCCGAACATCTTGGGAGTCGAGTTTTTTCAACCCTTTCGCAAGTGTGGATGTGTCCTCCGCTGTTGTTATGCGACAGCTAGCCAGTGTGGTTCGAGTATAGCACCACTCTGCTAACCTTAACTGCTTATCATTTATGAGACTTGTGTGTCAGTGTTATGCAATTGTATCAAACATTCTTATGTAAACAAACCATTGGAACTGTTTGTATGACAAGCTAGAAAAGCGACATCTTTACTTGATTTTGACCTTACCACAATATCCTGGACTAAGAACAACATCGTCAATTGCTACATCAGATGTGTATCCAGTACCTCGAATGCCCTCAAAGAAAACCTGTAAAAGCAAATTCAGGGTTTTAATAAATAAATAACAAATAATTAACTTATTGTTTTAAATCCTTCACCCCTACATATTTAAAATGGACTTTCCCAGCCTCTGATTGGGTGAGGTTCAAATGTGACTTTAGGGATGAATGGGTTAAACTGTAGGCATTGCTGTTAAGGGTTCCTGTCCCACTGCAGAGAAAACAGAGAGTTCCAGTTTAGATTTTCACTACAGTGACCTTCCCTTCATTTTGATTGGCTTTAACTTATTCACCCCTGAAATCTCATAATGAACTATTCCAACCTTTAAATTGGAGGAGTTCAAATGTGTCTCCAGGGGTGAATTAGTTAACTGTAGCTTACTCTAGTTCATTTATCCGATTCTATCGTATATGACTTAAAGGTGGGGTCAACATTTGGCCGCCATATGTAGATACATAAAAATGATCAATAACTGCATAAATGATTATTTACAATTACTACCGACACCAGGTTGAGTGATGGGGGTACCCTAACAAAATGATAGATAAATGTCACAGGCGAATGTTATTTTGAAAATGAATTATGATAGTGTACAGTGTATAAAATTACTGTTATTTTGATACTAAATATGTCATATTGGTATATATATGAAGTAAGCGTAGTGATACTGTTAATTAGAAAAGCATGCAAAATTTACACAAAATTTAAAATATAATCAACTTTGTCAACTTGCCTATATATAGTTACAGTGGTAGTCTATATTTTAAACTTCTTTAAAAACTTTCCATATATATGTATTCTGTCTACTGAATCATTTTTATGTAATATAAAAACCAGTAAAGTACTTTATTAGCATGCCAAACATGATCAATGCCCAATTTCACATAATCTTGAAGATTTGATTATCAATGTTTATTACGGTAAATACCGATACATTTTCTGTTTTTGTATCATACCAAAACACTTTATCATATTACGCATGTTTTAAAGTTATGTGCAGCAGTTATAACTCATGAATATGTATTCTGCAAAAGTAAACTTTCTTCTGGAGAACTACTTAAGGTTGAGATTGTGTTATAGACAACGTACGATATGCAATTATATAAAAGTAATCAAATAATCAAGTAAAACTATTATACACTTTATTATACCCCCTGCAACAAAGTTAGGGGCTATATACTGGAATCAGCCTGTCTGTCTGTCTGTAGAAAAAAGATTGTCCAGACAACTCCTTCTATAGTAATGGACCAATTTCAGCAAAAGTTTCCAGATATGATAACTAACCACCTCAAGTTATGCATCCAGGTACTATGTTTTCATTCTGATCCTTTATTTTCACAGAGTTATGGCCCTTTGATGAAAAATTCTTGTCCAGACATATATGTCCTCCAAAACTAAAGGGCCAATTTCAACGAAACCTTTCAGATGTAATAACTTCTACCTGATGTTGTGCATCCAGCTATTATTATATTTCAATATAACCTTTTTTCACGGAGTAATGGCCCCGGCCCTTTGTTGAAAAATACTTGTCCTGACAACTCCTCCAAAACTATGGAGCCAATTTCAACGAAAGTTTACAGATATGGTAACTGCCCCCTTGCTGTTGTGCATCAGGGTACGTGCATCAGGGTAGTACTTTCTTTTTATCTCAACCCTTTTTAAGAAGTTATGGCCCTTTGTTAAAAATCTTTGTCTTGACAACTCTTCCTTAACTACTAGGATGACTTTAGCAAAACTGGTTCATCAGGGCTTACAAGATTTGGTATGGAAGTATGTTTTGGCATAGGGAGGGAGTATAGGAAGTATTTCAGTGATATATATGCTTAAATATTTACTGGGGGGAGGGGGTATGGATTGCCTTAGTTAGCCTTTAGCTTACAGTTCTGGGTTATATAGGAGTGGGGGTATTAGTTAATCTTTGGCTTACAGCTCTAGTTATTTTATTTAGCCTACTGCCCATTCATTAAACAAAGAGGAATATTACATTATTTTATATCGTTAACTCTAAACAAATAAAGCAAGGAAAGGTATCCTTATCCGACTCCCCATACAAACATTTGACAAACAATTATTTCAGCACATTTGATTTTTGTGACCTTATGAACGAAGGTCATTAATGTTTACAACACTTAAACTCATTTATATGAACAACCTTCTGGCCAAATATCAAGACCCAAGGACCTTTTGTCATGAAAAAACACAAGTTAAACGAAAAGTGGAAAGAAAATTATGTTTTTCTTTTTTTGAATCAAAAGTGTTNTTTTAAAAATATCTCATGGGTCGTGTCTTAGGGAGCTACAAATATAACCCAGTAATGGTTAAATTGCTTTGTGGGCAAAATTCTTTTGTTCCTGTAACAGGTCCTTTACTAGTTATCAATTTTCTTGAAATTCCTGATTTTGAAAGGTATTATTGGTAGCCAACTTTTAAGCAAGTATGAAACATATTAGACTGGTTTTAGAACCATGTAAATTAACATGTCGAAAACAGAAAATCTCATTAGTAATGAAATTTCATACTTTTCTGCTGAAATCTTCAACAAAAAGAACAATCTTGACATATTGTAATATTCAGTATCAAAATGAAAATTGGAATATGTTGCACACGATGATATAATTTTATAGTAATTGTGTCATTTAAATGCTCTAGGACTTGTTACCGCACCTTCAACACCCACACAGGTGTTAGTCAATGAGGTCCCATTTATCCTAAAATGAATTCTGAAACTAACTGTACCTGATTTAAGCGTCCTATACCCATACCTTTTTGTATTTATCTTGTTTTGAAATTCCAAGCGGGGGCCCCGACGCTAATGTTAAATCTCCATAGGTGTTGACCCTACCCTTGCAACTTTTCGTATTTGTTATATTGGCAATGCAATCAGGGGTTATTCAACGAAATTTAGCAGTTTATTTCTGCATATTTCAAAACATTACCGAAAATCCTCGAAAAAATTTACGATAAATGGTCGCGACCAAGGACTGGTTTTGGATTGTTCCTGAGGATCTTGTACATCCATTTCTTGACCCTTCATTTTACCTTTCAAAAGTGTGCAATAAACGCAAATATTAATGGTAGTCGTTGGTCAGACATCAAATATCTAAATCAATCAATAGCAATTTATAATACGACAGTTTACCCGATTCATACTCTGAACATCTTTAGGTTATATGTAATTCCCATGTGAAATTTGGAATGCCTTTAGGTTTTATGCTATTCCTGTTTAAAAAGGAAATTGATATCCTAGTTATCAAAGAGCTTGTAATTAGCGCCTGGTTTATTCCGACAGAAGCATACACTAACAGCCCAAGACAACAGGGGTCAAAATCTGGGACCAAAACCAAGTTGAAAATGGAAAATGGTAACGGACGCCGCCTGACGGACGCCGCCCGATAGACGACGGAGGATAGCAATAGGTCACTTGAGCTAAAGCTCAGGTGACCTAAAAATAGTTAAGTATAACTTTAAGTTAAGTTTGTCAGGACAATGAGTTGATCATTCCTAGACAGAGTTTTAGTCAATTCGGCCTATTAATAGTTTTAAATTAGTTTTTTTCAAAAATGGCAGCCATGGAGACCGTATTGGATTTTTGATGGACCTGACAAAAAACACTTTTTGCCAAGACCATGAGTTGATCATCCCTACCAAGTTTCAGTTAAATCAGCCCAGTAGAACTTGACTTTAAGTTTGAAATAGTTTTTCAAAATGGCGCCAGTGGTGGCCATATTGGATTTCTGAACACTTGGTCAGGGAGTTGTCGGTAACATTTCCATGAAATATCAATAAAATCCCTTCAACAGTACAGTATTTCAGTTTAAGTTGAAAATGTAATATGTTAACGGACGACGCACGACGACGTATGAAGAGGGATAGCAATAGGTCACTTGAGCTAAAGCTCAGGTGACCTAAAAATAGACTACATGAAATGCTACCTTTTTTGTGTAGACACACCGCAGACTTGTAAATGGCCAAACCTATAGTCTCAAACCAAATTCAGTTTGTTTTTCTTGAAAAATAATAAAGCCCACACTGTCCACTTCATCATGTATGGCAATTTTAATGCTGTGTTGTTGTTTTTTAATTTTGATACTTGTAAAACTGTATTACAGGGGTTATATATACATTGTGTAAAAATATCACCCATGGCCACTGTACGCTACTGTACTCTACTACCTTAATGGAAAAGACAAAAACTAAAGGCTCCCTTCTCTCTACTGGGGGAGCCTGAATTATCATCCCTTCTCTCTACTGGGGGAGCATTAGTTATCTCAAAAGGCATTAAAGATCCATTTTATTTTGTCCCACTGCATGCAAAAACTAAGGAAATTATCTGAATTTTTTCTATACGTACAGTAACCTCCTAATTTCATTTCAAATAAAAACTATCTGGCGACTAGTCAAGTGGATAACCAGTGTCCAGGTAGCTCAGTTGATAAGAGCAACAGTCCCTGGATTCGAAGGTCTAAGATTAAAATCCTCTCTTGGCCAGATTACATTTTTACACTCAGAAAACTGGATCATTTTTTGTGTATTTTATCATCATTATTTTTCATAAAAGTTCCAGAAGAAAGGATTTAAAAATGAGTTAGTCATGCTGCAAAAAAAAAAATTCAATACATATTTACATTCTTTGGCAGTGGTAACAAGGATCCAGTAGCCATGGAATGAAGATCTTTAACTCGTTCACCCCTGAAAACACATTTGAACTTTCCAATTCAATGGCTGGAATAGTCCATTAAGAGATTTCAGGGGTGAATGGTCAGATTTCAAACATATCTCTATAGATACACACCCTTAGAGATGGTGTCGCAGGGATCTGGATTGCAGTTTTTTGCCATGTATTTCCCTGGTCACCACTCTCAGTCCACAAGACTCTCATGGTGGGGTTTAAAGCAGCAGAACTGACGTCGTTGATTAGGACCCTGAGGTCCCCCATAGAGGATCCATACATGTGGTAGTCAAAGGTTAGACATAAAGTCTCCACTTTAAAAAAAAAAAAATATAGAAAGACTAAATGTGAACTTAAAAATAACTGTATTCAGAAAGACTGCTTTAACCCTTTCACCACTGTAGACTGAAATGGACGCATCCATATTAATGCGTGGTAGAGTCTAAAAAAGTTACATAGGGGTGGAAGGGTTATTACTGGAAATTTATGCTTACAGAATTTTTGGGTCCACTAGAGTTCTTTATCTATATACCACTTTATACCACCTACAGGAAGCGTGGTAAATTCATCATCATGGCTTGTCATTAATCCTCAAGAAGTTGAGAACTGGAGAACATCTACATTTACGCTGTATCAGCGTGTCAAATTTCAACAGCATTAAGTCTTTTGGATTCCGAGATAAAGAACTGTGACCCCAACAATCTATTTTAAGTAACAGTGTCCTTTACCACGACATAAGAAATTTTCTAAACCCCGATATTGCACATCTACATTTTACAGTGTATCATGTCAAATTTCAGAAAGGAAATCACTTCAATCTACACAAAAAGAATAGTAGACTTTTGCTAATGCTAAGTTTACATTATGTTCACGGCAGCCACAGCAGTCCCGTTTGCCCGAAACGTCGTGCCCTGTGGGATTTTGGCCATTTTTTCTCTGAATTAAAGTCTTGGCAAGTTGTTCCACGGTCTGTCACGGTATCCGGGGGAAAGGGGCTGCTGAGTCCCGGCGGCTCCAAGGCGCACTACGGTTCAGCCCGCGGTCTATCACGAATGCCAGTACGTTCCCTCTTGGCCAGTCATGTTCTGATAGGGTCCCTCACGTTTCTCACGTTCTGATGAAGGTCCGACAAGTTTTTCACGTTCTATCAAGGCTTTCCACGGATGAAACGTGGACACCGGGCAGGTTTGGAGCTCTTTCATGCCCAAGAAGGCCTCCAAAGCACAGGCAATCATTATATCCCGAGACGAATCGATGAGATAACATCATGAATTCCCAAGACGAAGAAGATTGTGTACGAAACGTAGTGCGCCGTGGAATTTTGGCTTTTATATACTCCCTCGGAGACCGTGCACACTCGCTGTGTCAGACCGTAGTAGAATGCAACGCGCCGGGCCCGCAAACCGTCGCACACAGGATTGAATGCGATGAAACAGCTACCATACACCCTAGCTGGCCGTGGCAAAACGGGGCAAAACGGGACAAAACGTGCAGCAACAGTGAACCAACCGGGACAGAACTTGACAAAACTTGAAAGGACCTCTAGATGCCGGGAAATACACATGCTTCCCGTTCCACTACGGACCGCCTCCAGGTTATATTACGGCCTATTACGTACTGTCACGTTTTGTTGCGTTCACACGGATTTACTACCGCCTACTAGGTTTCTCATCCGCACCGTGACTGCAGTGTCAAATTTTTTGACAGTTAAAAAATCTGGCCCGCAACCACGGCAAGTTTCGTTGGCCCATCCCATCCCCCCACGTTCTCACGTCCATCCTGTCCACTTTGGCCCGAAATGTGATTGCCGTGGCCACCAGGAACATATTGTAAACATAGCATAAACTACCTGGAACTAATATGTTCAATAAAATCTCACCAAAATGAAAAATATTTTGATCACTCAGAAAATTATGCTGCGATATCCCTTGAATTTGGAAACAAATCCAGGATAGAATTGTTGAAGTTACTGGAAAGAGTTCCCAGTGAAAGACAAGTATTGTTTTCATTTTTAAATAAAACAGTTCTTATAATTTTGTTGCCATAAAATTATTACATACTTGGCAGGATACTAGACATAAGAAGGGCTACTTCTCCGTGACTCCTGGGAGAAGATGCCTCGATGAATGCATAGGATGTTCCCTCACTAGCACTGTTCGGTCCCGTGCTGACAGAAGGGGTTGAACCAGTCTACAAAAATATTGAATTATAGTATGTTAGTCAAATTTCAGGCACGTTAAAATAAGTAGCACGGACATGGTAAGTTTGTTTTTTATATATAATCATCATATTCTACACTATATTTGCTATCAGCTTATTTTTACAGCTTATTTGTAATCAGAATATTAATTTGAACACCTAGTATGGTTTTACCACCTTCACTTTGTATATAACGTTGTGTTGATTGTACCTAAGAATTTAGGTCAAACAAAAAGTTTGCTACCTGTTAAAGACAAGAAAATATTAGGACAGGTAGGTTTATACAAAATTACATTATATAGTGTTCTCATTGTAACAGCGATTCCATGAAAATTGACAAAAAAATTGTAAGGGTAGGCACAAAACAAAGGGTAATCAGTGTAACCAGAAATGAAAAACGTTTGTATTTGGCCTTAAATATAATAAATTAACAGATTGAATGTCACAACTATTTCCAGTTACAGAATTAGATTCCAACGTATCAAGAACATTACCTTTGGGAAAGTCCAATCAAAAGTGTCCAAGGTTTCCTGACTCAGAAAACATGGAGCACCAGCTTCAAATGTGCACCTAAATGTAGTACCTGTTGGTGGTGCCGTAGGAGCTGGAGTACTGCCAGCATCTGTCACAGGTAATCACAAGTTACAGGTAAGTCAAGGTTATTACAAATTACAGGTAAGTCAAGGTAATCACAAATTACAAATAACTGTAGGTTATTGAAGGTAAATCATACATTACAGGTTATTGAAGGCAAATCACACATTACAGGTAATTGAAGGCAAATCACACATTACAGGTTATTGAAGGCAAATCGCCCATTCCAGGTTATTGAAGGTAAATACACACTATAGGTTATTGAAGGTTAACACACATTACAGGTTATTGAAGGCAAATCACACATTACAGGTAATTGAAGGCAAATCACACATTACAGGTTATTGAAGGCAAATCACACATTACAGGTTATTGAAGGTAAATCACACATTACAGGTTATTGAAGGTAAATACACATTATAGGTTATTTAAGGTTAACGCACATTACAGGTTATTGAAGGCAAATCACACATTATAGGTTATTGAAGGTTAACGCACATTACAGGTTATTGAAGGTTAACGCACATTACAGATTATTGAAGGCAAATCACACATTACAGGTTATTGAAGGTTAACGCACATTACAGGTTTTGAAGGTTAACGCACATTACAGGTTTTGAAGGTTAATGCACATTAAAGGTAATTGAAGGTTATCATACAAGTAACAAGGTACTAGTCAATGTGGTAGTCATCAAGTCGTATGTAAGTCAAGGTAATGGTAAATTTCAGGTAAGTCACAGCTAAGTTAAGGTAATCACAAATTACAGGTAAGTCATGCAAGTCACAGGTAAGTCATACAAGTCACAGGTAAGTCATACAAGTCACAGGTAAGTCAGGTACCCCATTAATCATAAATTACAGGTAACCATACAAGTCACAGGTAAGTTATACAAATCACAGGTAAGTCATACAAGCTAAGTCATACAAGTCACAGATAAGAACAATTACAAATTATTTAACTAGAGACAGTGACTTCATGAAACAATTTGGATATCAACAATAAATCAAACATGTTAATAATAATAAATCTAGGTTCTAATATACCACTTTATCACAACCTACATCATAGGTCGTCTCAAAGCGATTCATAAATAAGTCAATAAGAACGTTTTTCTGCAATAATCGCCAAATACAAACTTGTATGAGAATATTTTTTTCTACACAAATATCAACTTCCATCAATAATTTTATATTGACACTGACTTCCACAGAATTGTCCAGTGAATCCACCCACACAGGCACAGCTGGTCACAGACCCAGTCACTGTACAGATGCCGCCGTTCAAACATGGGTCCTGTGCGGCTGGGCATGGTCCACCCACTGAAGAGAACATTGAAAAAAAAAAAAAAATTATCTTGCTATGAACATCATGTTTTTAATCTCCAAGCATTCCAGGTGGAAATATTACTTTTCAGTTGTAATTTAGTTTAAGGGAAAAAGCTGGTACAACACGAAAGGTAGGAGAGAAGTTTGGGAGATGTCGCATAATAGCTATTGATTTGAATAATATTGTTTGGAATTGAGAAAAATACAATAAAACTTTGTTATACTGCCACCATTTGTCCAGCGAAATTTTGGCATTTTATAAAATTCACCCCTGAAGACACATTTGAACTCTTCAAATTCAAAGGTTGGAATAGTACATTATGAAATTTCAGGGGTGAATTAACTTTTACAATTCAAAGGTTGGAATAGTACATTATGAAATTTAAGGGGTAAAAGAGTAAAGAGGTTCTGCAATAAATTGAGGAATTCAGGAGAAAACAGACCTTAAAATACGTTTGTCATAAGCAAGGAGGCAAATGAAATCAGGATCAATATATAATATCAAGTTTTACTGTAATTTATCAATAAACATGGAAACAACTGGAATATTAGGCCAAAAATATGTTTGTTTCAGGTACCATGTCGGAAAAATATAGGGTAGCTCCGTGGGCAGATAATTTCATTTTAATGTTGTTTTTTTTGTTCGTGAATTAATCTTATGCTTCATTTAAAAATTTACAATGCATTTCCACACGATGGCTATTAATTTGTCAAGAATAACATCCCAAAACAGGAAGAGTTCCAAAACATGAGTGGCTGTGAACTTTGCGTGGCTATTTTATTTATCTTTATAATAGATACAAGTAGGTGATAAAAATCTAGGATCGGCAGTAAAATCTAGGGAAAGTCAGAATACTTTTTTTTTTACCTAAGGTATCAGAAATAAAAAGATATAAATGTACCAGGGTTTTGGCAAGTGACTCCGGAGAAGCCTGGGACACAACTACATGTGAAGCCGTTTCCAATGCCAGGCAGACAGGTTCCTCCATTCAAACAAGTTGTTGCTAGATCACACGGTAGTTGTGCTGCAATTATAATTACATTGTATTGTAGGACTGCAACGATATGGATACCACACAATACAATACGTATCGGGGTACGATGCTCACGATACGATGGGCTGCAATTATAATTACATTGTATTGTAAGACTGCAATGATATGGATACCACACGATAAAATACGTATCGGGGTATGAAGCTTATGATACGAAGCCTATCACAATACAATACGTATCGGGGTACAATGCTTACGATACGAAGCCTATCACAATACAATACGTATCTGGGTACAATGCTTACGATACAAAGCCTATCACAATACAATACGTATCGGGGTAAAATGCTTATGATACGATGCCTATCATAATACAAATATCTGCTTCAAAGGTCAATTTCATAATGATTTAGTGCAGGATTTTTAATACATCTTTGTCACAAGACTTAAATAGTAAATACTATGGAAATATATTTGTATAATTTCTAGTACTTTTTGGTACTGCATAGTGGACCCCATTTCTTTATTGAAGGATTGAAAAAATATACATTTCTGTAACTTCACCTTTTTTTTTTTAAAGTTTGATAAAAATTGATAATTTAAGTACTGTTAGTGCATCACAATACAGGCAAACAAAACAATTTGATACGATACACTAGAAAATCAGAAATCAAAGGAAGACAAAACATGGACAAGTACCTGCCACGTAGGCCTTTACATGTGACCCAGTGGTGGACAGCTAATGATCCTAGATGGTCAGAAACCTCAACGTCTTGACCACTGCGGCCCCAAAATATGGAAACAATTGTATCACAAAGCACCGCAACGTGGTAAATTATGACTTTATCATTATGCTTTAAACAAGCCAATCATATTGATATGTCTCGCCTGTGCCCCGCTTTGACCATCAATGCACATGTCAAGTTTGGTTGATTGAGCACTTACAGTTTCAGAGAAATTAACTTAAACACAAAGACTCAATGTTGATGGAGATGCTTACAAAGTCAATAGACAATGAAAGGTAGGCTACATCCAGCGTCCGATGCATGGGTTGAGATGTACTACCGAATATGCATCTATGGTCCAAGTTTGGTTGGTGTAGCACTTATATTCTCAGTGAAACTAACTTAAACACAAAAACTTAATGTTGAAACCGCCGCCAGACAAGCAACACCTTAAGTCTCGCTTCCTCTACTTTTGCAGTATTTGGACATAACACTTTCTATCATAAGAATTTTATGTAAATACAGTCAAACTTCCATAAATCGAACTGTAAAGCTTCAAATTTCTCGATTTGTCTTACTTGGAGCAAAGTCCAGAATTTTTCCCTTACATAAAACCACTAATATTTTTTTCATGAATCAAAATTTTATTAGTGGAATTTCTTGCCGTTTCAAAGTTCAATCAAGGCTCATTCATTATGGAAGCATGGAAAATTAGAATGAACTGAAGTGAAATATTCACCTGTGCTAGACCATTAAAGTGTCCTGTGGTTATTTTAACAGTACAGACTTTGGAAATTTAATTGACAAAGAAATGTTGAACTCGATAGGAAATCCAATATTTATATTTGAAATCCAATATCTTGGCCTGTATTTCATCACATATTGAAAGAATCACATTTGTCTTATTTATAGCATCTTAATGTTTCTATTAAAGTCCTGATGTTTCGAATTTTTCCAGATGGTCCCGCAAAGTTGGAAACATTGAAGTTTTACTGTACTTTGGATATGCTGAGTTGGGATATTGACCTCTTTTTGAGATTTTATTCATATTTGAAGGAATTCATCCAGAAATTATTAAGTTATTTCTGGAAATTTATCTTCCTTTTTTTCTCTTCAAAACTTTCAATATCTTTTATCTTTCAAGTTTTATCCATCAGCCTCAAATAGGTACATCAGTGAACATTCATATTTACTGTTTTATTTTGTTTTTAGGATATTTTATAAGGGCCCCGGTTCCCGATATACTTACGACACGTTCCATCAATTAATTCAACGTCATCTAAAGCGATATCACCATCCCAGTTATTTCCTCGTGTAGCCTCGATGTAAAGCTGCAACATCATACAAATATCCCAATGTCATTAAAAACGCTTTCATCACAGAATAAATTTCTCATATATTCTTTTCTCTCTTAAAAACATTAATACTTTAATGAATGCTGATACTAGTAATTTTTCCCGCCAAGTCAAATAACATTTACCAATAAATTTAAACTGCATGTTTTTATTAAAAAATAGAAAAGTGTTTCAACTCATTCATCCCTGAAGATACATTTGAACTCTTCCAATTCAAGGGTTGGAATTTCAGGGGTGAATGATTTAAAAGTAGAGAGTTGCACAACTTTTCTCATCCTCGGTATGTCAGTGCACGTGGTTATACTCAAGTATGCTCTCTGCACCCCTGGAATATATCATAGCAAAATTGAAGGCTAGCCGTTTGATTTGTCAAAGGTAAAAAAAAAAATAAAAAAAAAAATAGCTAGGCGGATACCCATCTTTTGAAGATTATAGAGAAGCGTAACCACACTTCAGTCAGTTCGAATTTTACCATTGCGTGACTGCGAATTTCTTTTAATGTACGTCAAATGATCAAACTAGTCTTCTCATTTCACCACAAGGTGGCGCAGCACACAGAGTCTTCACTTTTGTCAAAACATTTTGAGCGCAAATTAGCATAACCCCTGGAGTATCGTGGATGCACTTTTCCTCATTTCTGTGTGTGTAAGACAAGAGCTTTCTCCCACGCTTCACAGGTGTCTCCTGTTTTAGCCGGGAAAGATCAGCTCGTCACCCCCTAGGGGGAGATGGCCTCGTCACCCCCTAGGGGGAGATGGCCTCGTCACCCCCTAGGGGGAGATGGCCTCGTCACCCCCTAGGGGGAGATGGCCTCGTCACCCCCTAGGGGGAGATGGCCTCGTCACCCCCTAGGGGGAGATGGCCTCGTCACCCCCTAGGGGGAGATGGCCTCGTCACCCCCTAGGGGGAGATGGCCTCGTCACCCCCTAGGGGGAGATGGCCTCGTCACCCCCTAGGGGGAGATGGCCTCGTCACCCCCTAGGGGGAGATGGCCTCGTCACCCCCTAGGGGGAGATGGCCTCGTCACCCCCTAGGGGGAGATGGCCTCGTCACCCCCTAGGGGGAGATGGCCTCGTCACCCCCTAGTGGGAGATGGCCTCGTCACCCCCTAGTGGGAGATGGCCTCGTCGCCCCCTAGTGGGAGATGGCCTCGTCGCCCCCTAGTGGGAGATGGCCTCGTCGCCCCCTAGTGGGAGATGGCCTCGTCACCCCCTAGTGGGAGATGGCCTCGTCACCCCCTAGTGGGAGATAGCCTCGTGCTGATTAGCACATGTTCAATTGTGATGTCATTCAAATGTGTCGCCAATAATTGTGACGTCATCAAAAGTGAATGACGATATCCATACCCCATTTATGTGTTTTGTTTACAAACATGGCCGACTACTGTCGATGGAGCTGCGACTGAAGTAATAGGATGGGAGGATGGTAATGCTATCACAATAACAGGACGTAACAAATTGGGAAAAGTCTGTCGCAAATTAAATCTTTTACAATATATTGACCATACAAGTTAGAAAGATGGGATAATTTTTTTGTGTAAACTATGTTTGCAAATACAGGGTATGCTAAATAAATCTCTTTGACAGATTTGTTTTTGTCTAAAAAGATCAGGGGGAAAAATTGATATTTTTTTTTAAATTGGTAGCAAGTCAAAACACATTTTCATGGTTTCTAAGCTTATTCTGGTAGTTGGAATGAAAGCCGAGGGTTTTGCAAAATTTGAACATCCTGAGGGTGGAATTTTCCTGTCATTTATTCTATCATATACAAATGTACATACTAGCATTACGAATATATTCTCCAGTTTAACACAATTATTTCTCGTATACTGCAATTATTTCTCAATTCATACAAAGACGCTTTATAATATTTTGAAGATGCAAGAACATAATTTAATTTTGGCTATTCCTTAACCATAAGACTTTCAGGTTTTATTGTTTAACCAGAAAAACAGACAACACGAAAAGTGATGTCGTATACCGCAATGTTCGGCACAGTATTTGTAATTTTAACTTCCGATTGGTTGAAATTGCTTGGCAATGAAATTACTTGCGCAATGTTGTGTTTTGCGCAAAAAAAAAATAATAATAATATTCATAAACCATGAATTAACAAATAATGTTTGATTTCTGAAAAATAAATAAGGGATAACCAGAATTGTTGGGGTTAAACAGTATAAAACGTAAAATTATCAACTCGTTCACCCCTGAAAACACATTTGAACTCTTCCAATTCAATGATTAGATAGTTCATTATGAAATTTCAGGGGTTTCAATGAGTTTACCAAATTATGATCCATATATGTACCTGAAATGAGGGGTCCGCTGGCAAGTTAACTGTAGCTTTAACCCACATATCGCCCTGGTCACCAGACTTTGTCCACAGAACTCCAGAGCTTGTTGTAGAAATCTGTAGATTACCCACACTACCTCCATACATATGATACCAAAATGAAAGGCAGCGATCCATAGCTGTAAAAAAGACACAGGGTATGTAGTCCATAAGTTAACCCTTTCACCCCTATGTAACTTAAGTAAACTATCATGCATTAATCTCGATCGAGTCCATTTTGGTCCACAGTAGTGGAAGGTTAAATAAAAGACTGGGGGCATGAAGGGACATTTTCGGTCTCATCAGGGATTTAGAATTAAAAGTTACATTTGCAATCTGGAATAGATTTAGTACGCCAAAAGAAATTTCAGATTCATCCAACAACTGGGATGGCCCTACAAAGAGACATAAACCCTAATTTTCAGACTGAAATGTGTGAATATATCGTCTGTTGTGCATTATTTGGTTGGAAATTGATTGGCCATTATGAAGCAAATTAACTAAACATTCTTCAAATTTTGAAAGCCTCCGCATGCATCAAACAAATTAATATTTGACACACTTGAACATTGTCATACCCGAGTATTCACTCATAGAAAGATCCATTCTTTTTTTGTCACATGCGGAGGCTTTCATTTCTGCATGCTAACTGTCGGAAAAAAAACATTTTTGCTTTTTCTGCATAACAACGCAATTTTGTTTATATGGTAGGGCATCTACACAAGTGCATTAAAAAAATATGCACCAACAACAATTGGTAACTACATTAAAGTTGAAATTTGTACATTTTATGAGGCCAAAATGACCCATATATAATACCACAGGTCCTTTAAATATCAAAAACATTGTATTGTCAAAGAAACACATAATGCTGATAAAATATTGTATATATAATTACAGATACCAATATTTTTCACTTTCAGTGTATAATGCCCTTTGAGAGAAAAAATATCTACTGAATACTGGGAAAGTTTTGCTGCAGTTTAATTTTTCACCTTTTTGGCTTTAATGCTGGTGAATTTATCACTATAGCAAACAGTAGTTCACAACAGTGAACACTTAACACATATGCTAATTAAATTTGTAGGGTGATATTAACACTGGGCCAATATGGATTTTACCAGTGAATTGAAGGACATGAAATTGATAAGGCAAGCATTTCCTAATATATACAGTTTGTAATGGGAAAACCAATAAATTTGATCAGATTTTAAAACTATCTAGAATGAATGTTACTGCCTAAAAACAGATGGGATATAATAGCATTATAATATTTACCACCATATTAAATGATGTCGCCCTTGACAACAAGGTTAATTAAATAAAGGCTACAACAGAATTCTATTGTTTTCTGAAATGATTTGATATTTTAATAAGTACAGGGTTTGAACCGGGGACCCTGCAAGCTCTAGACGGATGCTCTACCAATTGAGCTACCTGGTCCCCAGCAATCGATCGACCCTGTTCAGTTCCACCACATTCCTCCCTCCTTTAACAAAGTCTTTAATCCCAAAGACACACGAGTAACCCTATACCACCTTTCATGGGTATATTTCGTTGGGTGCAAAATGTAACAGGAAAAAAGAGAAATGCAACGGCCAGACATGGGTTCCAACCCGGGACCCTCCGAACTCTAGATGGATGTTCCAACCAATTGAGCTACCTGGTCACCGGCGATCGACCCAGTCCAGTTTCGCCACACATGTAGCAAAGTTACAGATACAGATTTTATTCTGACTGTAGGACTTGCAGAAACTCCTCTGCTGTCAGCTCAATACGGTTTGAACAAATTCTGAGAAGAGCATGGACATTTGAATAACATGAATCATCAATAGTTGAGATGAAAAGTAAACTTTACATAAATTCCAAATTGGAGTAATTAGTGTTCACAACTTAAGTTTGATAAACCAAAACAACTACCTCATTTTGTACCTGTGAAATATAAGCAAATTTCCTATTAAAATGCTCTATATCTTCAATCAACCTTTCAATTTAAACCCAGGCATTAAGATAATTTTTAATGATACATCTTTTTATGAAATAATCAGGTAACATATACCGAAATATGCCAGTAATCCTACACCTAGGAATCTTTGTTGATGTGGAACTGCCAGAGTTATAGTAAAAAATACTAAATCTTTAGATTTAAAAAGACTGTATATATATACATGTACATATGTTTAACAGGTATGGCATTGCAAGTGTCTGCAATCATTTTGTCAATATAAAAGTGTCAAATTTATAGCAATAGGTATATGGTTCATGGACTGGGAAATCTTAAACTATGGGTAAGAGTTTGGCTGTCCAGCACTCTGCCACGCTTCGTGCTAGACAGCCAAACTCTTACTCATGCGTTGCCATTTCCATGTCAATGCACGTATCACACCCACGTAAGATTCATTTTTTGTTTTTTTACCAGGTATAGCATTGTAAGTCTCCAGCTTGGCAGTTTCTCCTGGGGTCGCAGGACTGGATACCTCGTAGAAGATATAGTTAGAACCAGTGTGTGCACTACTTGGGCCGGTGTTGGACGATGGTGTTCCAGCCTGAAAGTAAAAGTATAGTCTTTAGGTTGTTCACATGAAGATGAAGATTGTTTAATCGGGCTAATTATAATCTTAAATTAAAACTTAAGCACAGAAATGAGGAAAAGTGCATCCTCGATACTCAAGGGGTTATGCTAAGTTGTTTCAAACTGCCAGGCATAATACTTCATCTATTTCCCTCAATGAACCCCACTGTTTCCACCCCAATCCCCACAAAACATGATATTCGGATAACCCAACAGCGAGCATCCCTGGATATTGTTCATTCACCCTTACGCAGCTATAAATATACACGTGCATCCTAGGAAACCGCAGTAACTGAAAATCTGTCGCTGTTAAGTCCAGATAAATGCTACTCAATATGGCCGCCCTTTCTCAATTACCAACGCCCTTATTAATTAGTCGGGGCCCTTATTAAGTCAAATATGGTATATATAAAATGGCAAGGGGCACGAGAAAATCAGGACCAGGTTAAACCCTTTCACCACTGTAGACCGTAATGGACTCATCCATATCAATGCATGGTAAATGTAATACAGTTACATAGGGGTGCAAGGTTCAGGTACCAAAACAATAAATATATGGAGCATATTTTGAATTGATGGCTGGCCCAATACATGCTTTTTTTCAAGGAAATTCCTCATGAAATTTGATCGCTCACCTGAATAATAAAGCATCCTTGGAAATGTTTTATTACATATAATACTTTAACTTATTTCCAAGTATAGACCGTCTCTCAGCAACACCTGTCCCTCATTAGGTCCCTTCTTTCTGCCCCCATGAATTGGGGTGGATTTCAAACATTATCTTCATTTTCCCTACTGTGCCTGCCCCTCTGCTCCCTAGGAGCAACCTCCATTTATACAAAATTAAGTCCCCTTTGTCAAAGGATGCTCTACACATTTTTTTTTAAATCCCTTAAATCTTACTAAACGAGAAGGAATTTAATCATTTATTACAGTTACTACGTTCAGCCTATTGGGAACCGACCTTCTGCATCCAGAAGGGCCACACCCTCCGTTTATACAAAATTTAGTCCACATTTGCCCAGGGATGCTCCAGGCCGAATTTGGATAAAATCCCTCCTATGGTACAGAAGAAGAATTTTGAAGATTTAAACCTCAAATTCCCCTTATGGGCCTTACCCCTCTGCACCCAGAGGGGCCACACCCTCTGTTTATACAAAACTTAGTCCCCTATGCCAAAGGATACTCTAGTCAAGTTAAGTCAAAATCCATAAAGCTGTTCAGGACAAGCAGCGTTTTAAAGGAAAAGTTGCCGCATGGACGGACGACGGAGGCCACGGTAAGGCCTAAGCTCAACATGGTCCGTCAGACCAGGTAGGCTAGAAACTTACTGTTTGCAAAGTCCAGTTATAGTTATCGTTGGTGGAGTCCCTGAGGAAACACTCCGCATTTTCAAAAGTACAGCTGTAGTACTCGGTCACTGAAACACAGAGAAAGCTTGGTTAATTTCATTGTTCCAGATAGTTCCACTTTAGGATCCCAGTACCATGGCCAACAACTGTAAGTATTGGAAACCATTTTTTCCAGCATGAGTATCGCTTTGATAAATCATTTATGAAGAAAAAATGCATACCTTTAAGGTATGTGATGACATTCATGAGAAAAAATAAAGATGAAATAAAACAAAATATTATCAACAGTGATCGGAGTAAAAAGTCAGCAAGGCTTAAAATTAAGTTCAAACCCTTGACTTCAAGAGTGCTATTCTTTCCTTGTAATCAATTGAGCTACATGTACCTGGTCAACAGAAGTGTCCGGGCCCAACTGTGCTAGTTATATCCAAATGGAAAGTAAGGGACAATGCCATACCCCTATTTCAAAACAGCTTTTACCTAGAACTGTAAGCCAAAGGTTAACAAATTTCCCCCGCTCCTTAGTATAAACCAGAACTGTAAGCTAAAGGTTAAGTAAGGTAAAGCATTGCAAAGCAATCCATAGTGTCCCGCCAATAATGATTTCTTTATTCACCGAGCTGTACACTTATTGAAGTATATAGGTAAATGACATACTGTCTGTACTCCCTCTCAATGGCATAACATACTTGCAAACCGAACCTTGTTAGCCCAGATGAACCAGCTTTGCTGAAATTGTCCTAGTGGTTAAGGAAGACGAGTCAGGACAACCATTTTTAACAAAAGGCCATAACTCCTTAAAAAAGGATTGAAATAAAAAAATACTACCCTGATGCATGACATCAGGCTGTAATTACCATATCTGTAAACTTACCAGTAGTTTAGGAGACGGACAAAGGTTTTTTTTTCAACACAGGACCATAACTCCTTTTAAAAGGGTCTGAATGAAAAAAGTACTACCTGGATGCACAGCATCAGGGGGCAGTTACCATATCTGTTAACTTTGAAATTGGCCGAGTAGATTAATTAGGAGACTTTGTGAGGACAAGGGTTTTTCAATAAAGGGCCATAACTCCATAAAAAAAAGGGTTTAAAAAAATTACCTGGATGCACAACATCAGGGAGTAGTTATCATATCTGAAAACCTCCGTTGAAATTGGCCCATAGTTTTGGAGGAGTTGTCTGGACAAATATTTTTCAACAAAGGGCCATTACTTCGTAAAATAAGGGTCAGATTGAACAAATAATACATGAAAAATGCTCAAAATGAAAAAATAATGCCTGGATACACAACTTCAGGTGGTAGTTATCATATCTGGAAAGTATCGTTGAAATCGATCCATAACTTTTAGAACAAATTGTCCGGACAAAAAGTTTCAGGATCTGTTCAACAAAGGGCCATAACTTAGTCAAAAAAGGTCAGAATGAAAAATAATAATACCTGGATGCACAACTTTAGGTGGTAGTTTTCATATCTGGAAAGTTTGTTTGAAATTGGTCAATCACTTTAGAAGTTTATTGTTCTAGGGAAACTGACAGATGGACGGACGGATGGACGGATGGACAGACAGACTGATTCCAGTATACCCCCCTAACTTCGTTGCTGAGAGTATAATTACCTGTCAGGTCGCAAAATCTTCCGGCAAATCCACTTTGGCATAAACATCCTAAAGCACCAGATAGACAAACACCTCCGTTGTTGCATGGGTTTGGAACACAGGGATCCGTCGGTGTTGTCGTGGTTGGTGTTGTCGTCGTTGTTGATGTCGTGGTCGTGGTCCTGGGGGCTTGAGTTGGGGGTTGTGTAACGGAAGCTGTAGTCAAAGAATTTGTTGAAAATTAAAAAAAGATTTCGGTAACAACGTTTGTTTTTCACCATGGGAAATCAGTTACTAAAAGATTCAAATGTATAATTCATTATAATTTGTAGAGAAACTTTTCGGTGAAAGAATTCTGCGAATTTATTGCTACGAAGCTAAACTCTTGATATCCTATATAAACCCAACTACATGTGTGGTCTCAACATCTGCATGTTATTGGGGTGGTTGAGTGGCACAGTCAATATATAGCGCACTTGCCCTTCACCAAGGCAACCGGGATTTGATTCCCCAATCGAATGTAAAATGGCATGGGGTCACCTGCCCGACCACATGGGTCTTCTCTGGGGTCTGCAGTTTCTCCAACATTATCCCCCCCCTGAACACCAAAATCCAGGCCAAGAAGGGTGATTAATATAAGTTAAATAACTTGTTTCTTAATTGTTGTAAAATAAAGAAGGCAGCACTAGTGGTACAAATCCCCTTACATTCAAACATTGTGACATATGTAACATTATTGTAATGTTACTGTCAAATCTATAAATTTGTCGCCAAAATGATCAACGCTCCTCATCCATGTGTCAAAAGCCATTGCATCACGGATTAGGTAATCTATCTTACTGCAGCAAAACTTATCTCAAGCTTTATAAAAGTTGTATCGACAGACTCTTGTTGATAAAAGCTTCTCGCATTGTAGCCAACTTATTTCAAGCATTAACATTTGATGGCCGAAAATGATGCAGACAAGGTTAGTCAGCAGACGTTTGGCATTTTACTAAATACAAAGTTGTACTGTCCGAACTTCTGTGTTTGTATTTCTTATTTTGGTGTAATTGTCAGTAACTTATTAAAAGATTGAAGCCTTGATAATTAACAGACATCTTTATAATTATAATTAGACGAATTACACGCTGAATTGTGGTCTTTTGTTCAGGTTTCACACCTATAGGCTACCTATAGGTAAATCTACCCGCAGGGCAGAGTTAGTTGATCAGGGCGTCGATCGTAGGGAACAATAAAAACTAGTCTAATGAGGGCAAGTCTAATTGGAAAGGGGAGAAGGGGTTATCATAATTTGCTAGAACTTTATGTGTGTTACTGTCAAATGCATGTGTAACGGTAAAATGGTGATGTGTAGCAGCTCAAAATTCATGTGTAACGGTACCGTGGCGCTAAAACAGCCTGGGGAAAACACTGCTTGTATGAAGTTTAATGAAATTCCATTAAGGAATGAAGTCGGTAGAGCGATGACAAAGTTGTTCTAAAAATAGTAACAGTGACCTTGACCTTCAACCTAGAAACCCAAAATGCAAACTTGATCAAGATATTGTCATACCTAACACTTGTATGAAGTTTCATGAAATTTCATTGAGGAATGAAGTCTCTACAGTGATGACAAATAGTGTAACATACGTACGGGCGGAATCATATATCCCCTCAAACTTTCTTTGCGAGGGGATAATAAAGTTTTTTATATAAATATTAACTTGATCTTGACTGTACTATCATAGAAACAAGCCTTTTCACCACTTTGAACAAAAACGGTTCCGCTCTTGACATGCATATCTTCTCTTCACCCTTGAAATACATCGAGAAAAAGATATTGGAGAAAACAAAACCAAGAAATTTTGCTTGCGACCAAGTACCCTCACACTTCAAAGTCATGAGAAATGGAAAGGTTTTGACCGCAGAAAGCTGAAACACAAACTCATACAAGAGGTCATGTTTCTTAATGTTTGTGACGTTTTGTGACAATACAAAAAGAAATTAGTCTGTAGAGCAGTTTTATCAAATTATTTATAGTAGCAGCAACCTAGCTAGTTTTTGACTGCAGCAGGTGAAAGCGCAAACCTATTCAAGAGGTGATGTTTGTGAGAACATGTGTGAAATTTTGTGGCAATTGGAAAGGAAATGCAGCCTGTAAAGTGGTGACTTCAAAAATTCCATCAAATTCCATTAATAGTAACAGTCACCTACTTCTTAACCCCTGATAAGGTCGAAACAAGAACTCCAACAACAGGTGAAAACACGTGCAATGTTTCCTGACAAACGGATAAGAAATGAAGTGTTGTTTAGCAGCAACGCCATTTGGGACACAAATGTATAAAGCATATCCCTATATGTACCCACGACAACTTGTTGCGAGGTTATAAAAATACATCTCATTATAAAATGATCATGTGTTTAACAAACCATAGGTCACATTGACCTACTTTTTGAACTTTACCCTCCAACATTTCAAGATTTATTTGCACATCATATCTGGTTACTCCTGGTGAAATAATATAGAAGATATTCCTCGAACAAACTTTTTCAAACGATAAAGTCAAAATTCAAAGCATAGGCTACAATGACCTACTTTTTGAGCTCGATATCCCGACATCCAAAAATATGTTTGTATACGTGATCTAGTTACTCCAGGTGAAATAGTCTAGAAGATATGCCCGAACAAAATTTTGGCAAACTTTCGTAGAAAAGGGAGATAACTCCAGAGTGTGTGGACCGCCTCGGTTAAGTTTTACGAAATTTTGCTGAAAACTAAAGGAGTAGTTTACTGGACAAAATTATGTGTTGCAGACATACGGACAGACAATGCTATTCCAGTATAGCATCCCATGATTTCGTTGCAGTAGGTATAATGATTAGGGAATACTTACAGCATAAGCCAGGTGTCAATTCCACAGTATCAATGGCAATATCCGAGTTCCAGCTAGGTCCTCTGGTGGTTTCAAAGAAAATCTATGAAAAATGTAAACCATTTGTATTAAGGTACGTCTTTGTTTGAAGTAAATGTAAATATGGCAGACCCTTAACTAATGTTTCAGCATAAGGTATCTAGGTTTTTTGAGGGTTGTTTTGTTTTGTGTAAAATTCAATGATTACTGTAAAGATTATTTTTTTGCAGAGTTGTAAGAGAACTTAATTATTTCCTGCAACAAATGTTTCTGAAACAAAACATGACATTAATAGCTAAAAATGTCATGGCCACTGCACCTTAAATTTGTCAAACACAGGTCCTGCTAAACTGCCCTATTACGCACATCCCTGAAAATTAGGTAAGGGACAGCACAAAAAAGGTTTTTACAATTATATATTTCAATCGTTTGAATTCCAACTCAAAGCAAATCATGTTTGTCACTTAAACACTGGCAAGTCAGTAAGGGCCATGCCATGTGCCTGATCATAACACCCCTCCCCTCCTCTCTGGTCCATTTTAAGCAACAGTGACCTTGACACTTTTAAACCCCTTACTAAATATCACAATGTATTAACATGTCAAATTTCATTTTAGAAAGATATGTCGTTTGGATTCCAGGATAAGGACCATACCTTCCATGGTCTTGTTAAAGTAACAGTGACCTTGGACTGGTGACCTTGACCTAAGAAACATTGCTAACACTCCGTATAAATACTTCAACTTTACAATAGTTAGCAGCCTATTGATGGTGGTGATCCAACACCGCACAAAAAAACCTTGCCAAAACTACAACATAGCTTGTCCAAAACTTTAAGCAATTTAGTCCAATTCAGCCGTTTTTGGCCCCTAAAATATGGTTCAACACATTGCTTACAATCCATATAAATGCCTCAACCTTATATTAGACAACAGCGTATGGAGTGTGTTGACCCAACACGGTCTGGAAAAAAACTTTTCCAAAAACCTCAACCCTATAGTCACGTGGCATGCTGACTCCCGTAGCCGACGCCAGTCTTCAAATAGGGGAGCTCAAAATTATTGAGATTAATAAACTGGGTTACATACCTAATAAATGAAGCATTCTTTAATCTTTCAAAAGTCTTTGAAATTCAGAAACGCTTGTAGCTTACAGCGGTCTTTCCAGAGTGTCGTATACATTTGAAATAATCTTTTTGTTTCAACTAGCAAATAAGAACAAAATTATCTCGTACTGCTTTGTGTGCCACTAGGTGGCGCTGATCGCAGTCATGATGCATTTGCAAGCGATATAAGTTATTGACCATTTAAGGAGACAATGGTATTATTGTTTTGCCTATGATGTAGAGATTTTTAAAAATACTTTCTTTTTTGGCCCGTTCAAATGAGTCTAGTACATTCAAGAGAGATAATTGTAAGGATAGGTTGGTTTGAGAACCTGAAACATGAATATTTTTTTCTGGCTTTAAGCAATGTGTACCGTTATTTGAGATAAAGCCGAACAAATCGAGAACGTAGGAGAAATCTACAAAACAATACCTGGAGTCCTTCGGTGGACGGTACATTTACGGAAACTTGTGTCCAGGTCTGTCCCTGATCTCCACTCAGTGACCAAATATTAGCCTTGGATGTGGTGGTCCCGGATGTAGCGACAGCCAGCTGACCAACAAAATTCCCATACATGAAGTACCAGAACCTCAGACATCGATCCGTGGCTAAATTAACCAATATAAACTTACATAAAAATCTTATAGGGCACCTGTTGATTGGACGTGGAATTCCAATAAATATAAAAAGCGTCTTATCCTCATATTTACTGTGTCCTTATTAAAGGATCCCCATACCACTGAAAAAAACTGGAACTATAAGAACTGGAAAACAAAACTTTCGCGTTAGAATAGCTTTGATAAATCATTTTTGACAAGAACCATACCTTATGGCACTTTTAGGAGAAAATGAATAACAATGAAATAAACAAAATATAATAAACAGTGATCTGAATGGAAATAAAAATCAGCAGGGTAGATCGGGGTTCGAACACTGGACAGTAGATTGTTTAACTATTGCTCTAACCAATTAACCTGGTCAACCCTGTCCAAACAGTGCAACACTCTGTTATTTCCAAATGGATGTTAAATGGAGGTAACTGTATATATGAAAAGAAAACCTTGATTCAGTGGTACAGGGACCCTTAAGGTAAATCGTACCACTCCAGTCATAATCATTAAAGAGTTCCACTAAGGTTTTTTTCTTTTAATTGGAGTACTCTCCCTTCTATATAAAAGATGAAGCAACCAAAAGGGGTTCTTCTAGCCAAGAGTAACTTCCCCCTGTCAAGTTAAGTATACTTTTCAATGTTCAATGTTTTGTGTAGATTTTGCAGACCATAAATTGGACACCCATTTTAGTTCTTTTATTTGAAACTCCCGGATGGTAACATTAGTCATGTGTATTGGCTTTGGAATGTACAATGTCCTTCATTCAGCTCTTTGCCTTATTTACTTAAGTAGCAAAAGTGCCGCAGGGTTTGATCTGTAAACACTTTGTCCACTTCCGGTGCTTCCACATCGGTGAAAGCCTTCTGGGAATTTGAGGCTGTATACTATCTACAACAAGAGTACCGCGGGGCTGAATGATATACGCCCGTCAAATGCCATATAGTGTTATATTTTAGCTTTCTTACATTGAAAAAGATCTGCATCATTCAAAGAGTGGTTAGCTGACATGCTATAAAAATGTAGGTGTAGATCTCAGGACAAAAAAAATATATACTGAAATGAACAAAGGGCAATAACTTTTGCAAAAATCGTCGAATCAAAATTCATTTCAAGGAAACACAACATATCATGATTATTTAGCCTACTAAGTTTCAAAGAGATCCGTTGAAAAATGTAGGAGATTGCTGGACAAAAATCAAATACTGAAATGAACAAAGGGCAATAACTTTTCGAAAAATTGTCGAATCAAAATTCTTTTAAGGGAGAAACAACTTCATATCATGATTATAATGTATACCACGTTTCAAAGAGATCGGTCGTAAAATGTAGGAGGAGATTGCCGGACAAACAAAAGGTTACGCTGGACGGACGTATTATCAAATTTGACGGGCACATAAAAATAGTTGGAATCACCTCTACGATATCAGCATTACATTAACTAGCAAAATATCAAATTCTCCCTTTGATGAAATCTCTTATCCTGCACTCAAGTCAAGAAATACAAAATTTAACATTCACAAGGGAAAGTATCATTCTTATATTTATATCCAATTAGAACGATACTTTCTCTTCACTGCAAACAATTTATGAATCCTTATGAACTAAATCAATCCTTATGAACTAAATCAATCCTTATGAACTAAATCAATCCCAATCTCAAAGTTTTTACGGTACCTGGGAAGTTCAGGTTGGTTGACATGCGAGCCAAATCTCCCGATACACGTGGACTGGAACCCTCTGCATACAAGTAATTATTACCAGACTGTGCACTGTCTGGGCCGGTGCCAGTGGATGGAGTGGAACCCTAAAATTGAAATAAGTAGATTCAACAGTATGAAAATCTTGAAATCCGTGATCAATCTAAATTTATTTTCAGGAGTCCTTTTCAACTCTTGCTTAAAGCAACGGGTCCCACGATGTAAAATTTAATTAAGTCAAGAAATTCTATAATCGCATCAAATCTTGAAATTAGGTCACTTGGGACAATAAATGGCAATATATAAAGATATTTTGAATACGGTACAATACACAATTTTTTGCGAGGTCATGATCATACACTTTCAATATTATCCAGATTTTGTTGTTTCTGAATTTAGTTTATTCATATCTTTTTTTAAAGATAAGAATTGGTGAAAAGGAATACAATCATGTATACTTGCATGTTTAACATGAAAGGAAATGATGGTCATTTCTAATGCACGATACTAGTTTCAGATATGGGCAAGTACATGAACAATTGGTTTTTATAATGGCTAAATTCTTACATGGACAATTATTTCTATAATTAATAATCTACATAATTGTAATTCTACTATTTGTAAGGGCCGTTCAGACATGAAAAATTGTATTAATTTCTGTTTTTACAATATCTGTTTCAACAGATAAATATAGGATCTTAAATGAGTTTTCATTTCATATGAGATTTTATGAAACGATGACTTAGGAGTTTTTATTTTTGCGAGCCTTGGCAGGGAAAAGTTAAAACTTCGAGGCAAGTTTCATAAAAGCTCATATGAAATGTAAACAAATTTAAGATACTTTTTATCACATAACTGAGAAAACTTACATTTTGACAGGTTTTAAAGCCAAAATGTAAAGGGCTTAATCAAACGGAGACAAACATTTTGTTGCGCCCTTCACAATTTACGACGTCACAGTCCATATTATGACATCACAATAGATTTCTGACTGGCACAGCCAATGAAAAACGCTCCAGGATATATTACACTAGTGACATATGTAAAAGTATAACACGGGCAAATTCACTGAATAACAGACCGATTATGTGATAAATACTCTATACAGAGATTTTGTCTCCCTTCGCCCATGAAATCAATTTTCGTCCAGTGTTAATTTGGCTATTTACATTTTATAACTATTTTTACTGTGCTGTTTACATATACTCGCTGTAATGATTAATTTGCCTTCCTTAGGGAAGGTAAACAAGACCAATTAAAACGTAGTGAAAATTTCAAGGTATACAGTGGTCAGTTCAATGGCCTCCATTCATGACAAATTCCACAAATGTTTTATGTATAGGTAATCCGTTCACTTACTGAATTTATCGTCCAATCAAAATTGTCGTCAGTAGCTTGTACAAGGAAACAATTCCCTCCTTCAAATGTACAGGAGAAACTGGAAGAAACTGTTAATAGAATATATTAATTAGAGCAAGGTGATGCATTGTAATTAGTCTTGTTAGAGATATTTTACCACCATCAAAATACCAGAATACGCCATGAAAAATTTAGAGGCTTTGCCCCCTTGGAATATGCAACGATGAATTTGAAGGCTCTATCTTGTGAATTATTACTAATAGACTTTGCTTTGAAATTGGGTGTTGCTCTTCAAAAGACAGGTATCAGCCTAGCGATTGAAGTTTTTCATTAACCTGATGTCACGACATCACAGGATGTACAGAGCGTGAGAGAGCAAAATCAATTCTGATGTTATGTTTCTGTATGATAAAAATATCTGCAAAAACAATCTGATTACTTTTATTCTACGACAGTAAATACATCAAATTGAATTGGAAAAAAACACACGGCCATATGCATCAGTATTCAGATTTAGCCAGGATCCGTTTCCCACCTTTGTAAATTTAATCTCTAACAAATGAATCGACATAATCCTAATTCTTTAATAGTTTTATGAGGATTACATTTTAACAGCCATTCAGTGATTGGCTACTCAAGTTGTTTTTCACATTTTAAACAAATACATAAGATGTCAATTTTACAATTAACCAATTCACCACTAAAGACGCATTTGAACCTTAACAAATCAAAGACTGGGCAAGTCCAGTTAAAATATGTAAGGGTGACCGAGTTAACAAGGTTGCATTGCAACACCATCAAAAATCTCCCACATTGCTTAGTAAAACACATTGGAGGGAGATCTCCCACATTGGGCTCCTTAGCGAGGATGGCAACTCTGCTTTGACATTCAACAAGGCATCAAAAGTGATACAAATCCCCGCGCATTTACACATTGCGAAATATGTAAGAGGAAAGGAAGTGGCTAGAGCGATGAAACAGTGACTTTGGCCTTAAATGTAGAACCAAAATTAACACTTGTTCAAGGCATTGCCGTACACAACACTTGGATGAAGTTTAATAAAATTCCATAGTGGAATGAAGTCAGTAGAGCTAATGACAACGAGTATAACATACGTACGTAACTACGTACCAGCGGAATCCTGTATCCCCTTGTACTTATATGTTGCCAGGGGAAAATAAACGCTAAGAGTTACTCACCCGAGGGAATGTTGCAAGTTTGGCCGGAGAATCCTTGATCACACGTACAAGTGAACCCATTGCCCGATGTAGTACTACATGTTCCCTGTAAACAAGGACTTGTGGCACAACCTGAAACAACAATTCACAATACAGATTTGAAATCAACTGGAAAGGCTAGGAATCCAATACTTTAGGGTTGCGTTCGTGTATCCCGGTTGAAACGGTTTAGGTGGCGCAGAAATATTCCATGATAAATTAGCGCACTTGCACCACACTGTAGGCAGAGCTAAAAACTGCAGTTTGAATAAATAACAACATATCAAGAATAATATGTCCTTTCATGTGTCAACTAAATTATATAACGTATCTTAAAATCTACATGTGGATTGACCTTGTTTTATAAAGAAATAACACAAACAAGGTAATAGTCAGCATTTTTGTTTCAATCAGGCACAACTAGAACTCTTAATTGATGCGTGCCTAATACTCTTGAGGTCAGCCTCGGTTCAGATCTGGGCCGATCATTTAACATATGTAGGGCTGAATGAATTAAGATAATTACTTACCGCTACCTACACTTCTGACTGTCAAACTAAATCCCTTGCTGCTGGGGCGATCACTGCTGAACTTGCTGTCAAATCTGAGCAGCATAAGGTTTGGATAGCCATCGATAGATGTGATGTAATTCTCTCCCTGCACTACTCCGCAACGTCTGGGGTTTAAAAAAAATAAAAAGTGTGCTTACAAAAGCTGATAGTACAAGTTAACTCATTAACCCCCCCGACAGCATTTCAAATTGTATTATTTCTCTTACAGCTTCACTCCATACAGCAACGATATATACATATGCTGTATTACGGGAAATTTTTCGCCAGTCAAAATTTGACCCTTTGACAGGAAATCCATTTCCACCCAATATTAAATTTGCCCAACAACCATATAATGTGCTTACAAATACTCACTGTAATGACAAATTTGCTCTTGTAACGGAGGGTGAAAAAGAAAACAAATCAAATACAACGAAGATTTCCCAGTATACAGCAATTAAAACAAACACTGAAAAATATATCATTCTAGTACTTTCGGCTATCCTTGGGCTCTTAAGGTGATTTGAATCTAGTGGAATTGTGACATCATAAAACACAATAAACTCCAACAACCCAGATAGAGTAAGAATGGTCTGTGATGGATGTTGCAGTATCTGTGCTGTAGCATTCAAGTGAGAAGACACTATAAATGATACCGTTGCAAGCTTTATAGGTCCCACTACAAACAGAACACAATACATATCCAGCACACACCCAGGTATACACACATAGGGAGATATTAGCCAGGTGGCGTAGGACTAGTAGTTTGCGCTCAATAAGGCAGCAGGAAATCCATTTCCACCCAATTATTGATTAATGTATATATGCCAATTGTACCGATTATATAAATTGTAGATCTTTGTTCTGTAAAGCGCTTAATTTAGAGTGGCTTATTAAATAGCTAGATAGGGCGCTATATCAAATATTGTATATTATTACCCCGCAGACCAGACATCAAAGATATCATAAACAAAGAACTTATAATGCCGACATCTATTGTATTGTATTTGGAGAGCGATATGTACCACTGGTGGCGAGACAATAGTATTCTGAATGCAGAAAATTAGGTGAACTACACCGGGATTCCAACAGTGGACAATTAAGAGACTGTTATACCATCCTTCTAACCAACAGAGCTACCGATAGTCAACAGAAGAGTACAGGCCCAGTTATATCCAAACCTGTTCAAGGACTTTCACAACTAAATCAGCCAATCAGTAAGTGTTTCATACAATTGTAATCCCTACCTAAAATGTGATCCGGTTTACTACAGTGCGTCCGAGTAATTTTAATACTATTTGGTAATTGTTGACATTTTACAATGAATGAAATCTACAGATATTGAACTTTAGTGATGAACTTGAAATATTTACGCCATTAGCTCAAAAGCTTACTAAGTTTGGTTTGGCTTAAGTAGTGTTAAATGTCCTATCAACAGCTATGGTCATCGTCAAGGGAGTCATTAGGAAGAAGAAAGTTGTTTAGAAAGTGAAAAGATAAGATCCCAAATTCAGTAGCTTCTTACAATCATGCAATGGGGGCAGCCGATACAATTTTTACGCCCTACCTGCAAGGACTCAAAAGCTTAGTAATAACATACAGTAAATGATTTAGTTGTGCAAATCCTTAAAGGGAGATTACTGTATATAGGAACAACCAGTACACTGGAACTGGGATCCTTTGTAGCATCTAGAAAACAGGGTTTAAAAAGTCTTGCATACCTTGGGCCTGTTTGGCCAATCAGATTGTATTGCACTTCCAACCAGTGGTAACATCTGCCAGCGTTGTTATCCGTGAGGTGAAGGTCGTCAATATCTACTTTTACATAGTCTGTAGCACCACCCTGTTAAAAGTCAGTTAAAACAGTGTTATATCCCATTATCATGTTACATTATTAGTTATCTCTGGGTTAGAAGGGGTCTATAAAGACCAAAGGGGTCTATGAGCCAGTAGACCCCGCCTAACCCAGAGATAACGGCAAAGGGATGACCAGTCAGACTTAAAACGTTAACATCTGTATTCTTTAACATACAGACTCAGATGATTCTGGCTTTTTCGATTTTTCCAATCGATCGATTATCAATGTACCACCCAATTCCTAAACTAGAACAAATGATCTCACAAATGTCGCTATAAGATAAGTTCACAAAGTTAAGCTTGCAAATTTCAGGCTTAAGGTCATAGGAGTGTATTGATAAACGGAAGTAGGAAGTACGTATACATCCCTAGTTAAAAATCCAATGTAGGGAGACAGTATCACAATTTCCGCATATTCTAATGTTTAATATTAAACTGATGAATATTGTATGTTTAGAATTGACAGCACAGTGTGTTCTCAATATTAAAGTATTTCAAACCAATCCAGGCATTATTCAATTATTTTTTATCAATGAGCCACATGTATCCATTTTTTCTGTACTTCAGAAAACCGACTACCTATTTCACTACTGTGAAGTTTTTCAAGAAAGATAACTCTTACCTGCAATTACAATGTGCATATGGTTTTAATCCTTTAATGGTTAATTTATTTGACATAATTTCAGCATTTATTAAATTGATACACATTAATGCAATACTAATCTATGGCAGTATCATCTTTATTGACATTATTTTGCAAAATATTGTGTCTTTCATTTTTCCCTCCTTTTTACATACATTTCCATCTAAATTCCTTAAAATTATGACAACCTATATTTTTTTGCGGCAGAATTTCTCTTAAATACTTCAAACCAATATAACTACAAAATTTGAAGAAATTCTACTAAGAAATGGCGACAATCCTATTACCTGAAGTTCCCAGAACAGATTCAGAGTTAAAATATTGTCGATGTATTAATGATTACTATTCCTATTAATTTATGACCGGAAACAAATTCGAAGGCAGTCTTTTTAGGACATTTTTTCCCAAGGATGTCAACTTAGTGAGAAAGATTCCTATTATTGATGACCTAATGATCGATTTTAATGGAAAATTGATTGGTTTGGCTTTCGGATTCCAATTCCATGATCAATATAATCAGTTCGTTGCTGTTAAATGTATGCAGTGAGCTAATAACATTTGAGGTTTCGCTTTCAACAAATCCTCGCTCTGAACTTCAAAAATTCTTGCCCCACATTTGAGAAGTGCTTCTAATCTACATAACAGAGGAGTGACTGATTCTATAAATCCCTGAATACCTTAACAAGCCAGGTGCACTGAGCATTAGGTGCACTGAGCATTAGGTGCACTGAGCATTAGGTGCACTGAGCATTAGGTGCACTGAGCATTAGGTGCACTGAGCATTCACATTTTACTTATTAGGGTAGTGATCGATTCTATAAATCCCTGAATACCTTAACAAGCCAGGTACACTGAGAATTCACATCTTACTTATTAGGGTAGTGACTGATTCTATAAATCCCTGAATACCTTAACAAGCCAGGTGCACTGAGCATTCACATTTTACTTATTAGGGTAGTGATCGATTCTATAAATCCCTGAATACCTTAACGAGCCAGGTACACTGAGAATTCACATCTTACTTATTAGGGTAGGGACCGATTCTATAAATCCCTGAATACCTTAACAAGCCAGGTGCACCGAGCATTCACATCTTAGTTATTAGGGTAGTGACCGATTCTATAAATCCCTGAATGCCTTAACAAGCCAGGTACACTGAGAATTCACATCTTAGTTATTAGGGTAGTGACCGATTATATAAATCCCTGAATACCTTAACCAGCCAGGTACACTGAGAATTGACATCTTAGTTATTAGGGTAGTGACCGATTATATAAATCCCTGAATACCTTAACCAGCCAGGTACACTGAGAATTGACATCTTAGTTATTAGGGTAGTGACCGATTATATAAATCCCTGAATACCTTAACAAGCCAGGGGCACCGAGCATTCACATCTTAGTTATTAGGGTAGTGACCGATTACATAAATCCCTGAATACCTTAACAAGCCAGGTACACTGAGAATTCACATTGTAGTTATTAGGGTAGTTAGGACTGGTGATGGTTGCTGGTCCTCCGGAGACGTCAATGATCCCACCACAATCTGTCAAATATATATATATCAAATATTAAGATTGGTTCAGATACAGTTATTTCCATTTCCATTGTTAGATCCTCGATAAGCATTACAAGAAGAAATTGTGTTCATAAGAGCTATGAATGCAATTTGATCATCGTCACTTTGAAGCTTCTGTCCCCTCCTTGATTAACACTAGACAACCTTTAAAATCAAACATTTTGGTGATGTACGATATTCATTCGGGTACCTACATATATATATATATAGTATTTTGCAAAATCTGTCTGCAGGCCAAGATTTGGGGCTAGTAAACTTTTCAATTTTACTATCATGGCAAAATACATTAAGGTGATAGAATTTCGCAAAATCTGTGAGTGGGCCAGGGTTGGTAGAGATCGATTGTTGGGGTTAGTAAAAAATTTCAATATTTACTATTAGGGCAAGAATATAATGTTCAGGAAATAAAATTTGCAGAATCTCGTCTGGGGAATAGTACATGTACTTGAAATATGAAACTGAACATCCCTGAATATATTGCGATATATATTGCAACATACTGTTTCCAAATGTTTTTTCCAATTTTCGTTATCATGAAGACTTTATTTTATTTTACTTATTGAGGAACGTCAATGTTAAATCGCCTTTAAATGCTTACGATATTTTAAAACCTTTACACATTTAAAAACTATGTTCCTGATGTATGTAGAAAAAATACTTTAAATTTTGTAAAAAAATATAGGGACTTTTATAATTATATGAAACTAGAAATATTTCAGAATGACATGAAAGTCACCCCATCATTCTGTACGATCATTTTCCCATAAACCACTGACCAAGCTACAACAATATATTTCCACCTGTCAATCAAAAAGGTAAACAATGACCGGGTGTAAATACATACATGTTCAGGTAGCCATGGCAACACAGGGAATTAATTAGAAAGCATGTCGCAAATATAACGTTAGTGTTGACCGACACCTCGAACACCGGGAGATCTGCGCAATGACACGGGTCACCTGGCATGGGCAGAACAGGTAATTGGATCTAACTATGTTGTTTTCACAACAATAAGTTTCAGAAAAGATTCAATCTTATATACGGATAAACCTTTTCCTTTTTGATTGTTATGAAATACACTTTTCCAAGTAGTTTTCTGATCGTCTGCAAATACGACTGAATCGGTCATCGATATTGGCAGAGAGTGGATGCTTAAAGGCAGTCGCTCAAACATGTCCGACGAGAGCCAAATTAGTGAGACATGAAGAACACCAAACAATTGTGATTTCAGCAATTCTCCTTTGAAAAGAAAAGATCGGAATGTATTTGGCTGTTTTGAACCAGTTAATAATTATTTTTGAAACTCAAACTTTTATCATTATCGATAATATATATAACTGTTTACCCCTTCGGAAACCTTAAAGGTGCCAGATTCATACTCTGAACATCTTTAGGTTATATGTAATTCCCGTGTGAAATTTGGAACGCCTTTAGGTTTTATGCTATTCCTGTTTAAAAAGGAAATTGATATCCGAGTTATCCAAGAGCTTGTAATTGGCACCTGGTAAAATTCCGACAAAAGCACACACTTAGCAACCCAAGACAACAAGTCAAAATCTGGGACTGAAACCGAATTAATAGTCCCCACTGGGGTTCCCCCAGGGGCGACTAAAAACAAAATGAGTACTCAGAAGTCATGACGTAGCCATTCCTGTCCATACCAGATGTCACTTCTCGTACACAAAGTGTCAATCAACATATAACGTTAGGCCGAATTAACCATTTTCCTTTGTGCGTCGGTTTCCCAACATAATTGATTACTTAAATGAGGCAAATGTGCTTATTCACTTTACATTTATTAGTGACCAACCTGGGTGCAGGTGCTATCAGTTCAGTTCCAGAAAAAATCTCAATATTTAATTAAATTTTACTTTCATATTTACAAAAAAATCACCCAAAAAGTACCTGTGCACTATACACAAGTGTGCACAATGCATGAATAGGAAAATCATGGCGAGTAGAAACAGGACACCCAGGTGCGAGTTACTTAATTGCCCCTAGGAGCACCATGCATCAAAGAGGGAATTAATACAATAACCCAGGCAATATCCAGCATTAATTGGGAGTGTTAAATAAAATACATACTGCTGTCGGTGTCAACGAGCTGACATCTGTCACCCTTCAGGCCGTCGGGACAGTAACAAGCGCAGGTGTGGTCTAGGAAACCTCCGTTCTCGCACAGTTTTAGAGGACAATTTCCTGAAGCAAAAACGATAAAATGATTTCATGTGGCTACTCAGGGCTGTGAACTGCAAACATTTCATGAAAATATTGAGACATTAAAAGTTAAAGGATAGGATTAAGAATGAAAAGAATTTTGGGGCTGGGGGGGGTATTCAATTAGGAAATGTAACCATGAATAACAACTTATTTTTTTTAATAAAAGAAATATTTTTTGTTTCTCATCAAATCAATTATCCCTTCAGGCACTTCTTAAATGCAACTTGATCAGACTTTTCAGTAACTTCCATTTCAACAGACCAAATGACACTTTTAACTCGCCAACTTTTGTAAAATTACATAATATTACGCAATATATAAGGAAAGGGCGATTTGAACAGACCAAAACCTGAGCAAACTGGTCATTTTGGCCTACCTGCTACCTGCTCTTCATGAAAACCCTGCTTGAATGATCTTCCTTTCACATTGGTGAATTTAAGCTTTAAGTAACATTATCTAAGGTGGCAGTGTACAGTAGTGTACCGTGGCCATGAGTGATATTTTTGTACAATGAATAACCCGTTATATTACATGTATCAATTTTTTCCTATCTACAGAGTCAATTTTGATTAAAAATCGATTTTGTTTCTGCTCTTTTTTTACATGGTTACTATGGTTTTTAGAAGTCCAAAATCTGACGATTTTTTTTGAAAATAAAAATCATTTTGTCTAGGGGTCAAGTCTGCAAGGGTGGGGCAGACCCCATGGTCATATCTAATATCATGACTGCATTCGTCTCTTTATGCCCAACAATTGTATACAGTAAAACCCTGCTAACTCAAATTGTAGGGTCCAGATCAATAGTTCGAGGAATACATGGTATTCGACTAATCCTAGGTTCGACCAACATCGTCATTTTTTATCAGGTGGGACAACAGACAGTACAAGCACTGCAAATATCACGGATAGTAGATGATAGAAGAAAAAAGAAGTTTGATCAAGTTGACAGCATTTAATAAGATTTAAAATAGCTAAACAATGAAAACATAGCCACCAATATTTAGAAAGTAAATAAAATTAAAAAGCTGCATGTGTAACATACTTGTCGTTTTGGCATAGTCCGCCTTCTGAAATTGCCTATGTTAATTATACAAAATATCAAAACAAGAGGAACTCTTCGATCATTTCAAAATTAAGAAAATCTTGAATCCTTGTTATCATAATGTTGATTGATAAACAAATTAACAATTACAACGAATTCAAGTTTGAATACTTTCAAAGTTGGTCGAGAATCCACTATGTGATTTCCGCTTAATATTGCCATGCCGAAATATGGTTTTAACTTACACACCAGACCCAGTGAATTAACACTTCCGCAAATTCATCAATGTGAAATTATCATCCAGAAAAAATAAATATGCACACAAAATGATAATGAAGCTACAACAGGGTAACGGTACATTTACTAATGATACTGCCGTTAATCCTCTAATTATCAGATGTCCAGCCGACACCTGTATAAGCACAATCGGCACTGACCACAGGCTGTGCCTAGAGACATGTCGATGGCATTGCCAGTGTGATACACGGGTAAAATATCTGTCGGGCATGACAGGTCACACCTGTTCGACCAATATATAGGATAAATACTATGACCATGACGAGACGTGGACAAATTTTTGTTTGAGGAATAACGGTTAGACTAATAGGGGGTTACTTTAAAAAGAATATGTACGAAGTTGGTCGGGACCAAACGGTTCAACGAATGAGGGGGTATTCAAGTTAACAGAGATCCAGAAAGTGAGGTATTACTGCATATAGTTTTGGGGTGGGGATCTCAACTGTTTCGCAGTTATGACCAAGGCGTTATGACTAAGGGTGGGGCAGACCCCGGAGCCATCCTGGAAGCATATGTGCATTCCTCTCTATATACTCAGCAATTGTATATATGGTTATAGGGTGGGGATCTCAACTGTTTCCAAGCTGTGACTCGGAAACTATAGGTTCCTAGGGTTGTGGCCAGACCCCTTAGCCCCGGGGGCCAGACCCCTTAGCCCGGGGGGTCAGCCCAACCATTTGTACAATTTTGAATCCCCACCTCCAATGAATGCTTCTGATTAAATATGATCGATATCCAGTGAATATTTCTACAAAAGTTGTTTATAGCAATATAGCCAAATAACACTTTTTGGCCTCGCCCCTCAGTCCCCACTTTTTGTACAATTTTGAATTCCCACTACGAAGGGATACTTCCAGTCAAATTTAGTTAAATTCCAATTCCAGAAGAAGTCGTTTGAAGAAATTGATGTACGGACGACAGACGGCAGATGCTGGACGGATGTTGGACGCTACAGTATGGCATAAGGTCATCTTGGTCCTTCGAACCTGGTGAGCTAAAAACTGAATATTGAACCAAACAAGGAAACTGCAATCATTTAACTCATTTATCCCTGAAATTTCATAATGAGCTATTCCAACCTTTGAACCGGAAAAGTTCAAAAGTGTCTTCAGGGTGAAGGAGTTAAAACAGGACTTACGTGTACACTGATAGGCATCAGTAATGTCTTTGATGTCGTAAAAGGTCAGACCATTTGCAGAGTTGGCCAAGAAGTCTAAACGCCTGTCGGTAAACTCCATTGTCGGTTTACCGTTGGAGTTAAATGCCTGGAAAAAACAATTGGAAAAATATTGATTAGGCCTATTAAAACAATAGGCATGTTTCATCCCGACCCATCCAATCATTTTGGTGCCGATGCAAATTATTTTTAAACTAAAATGGCATTTCATGTCTGCGATCAAATCCAGAATTTTTTTAACTGCATCCACAATGTATTTACTTAGCGACGTCAGTTAAACACTTTAAAGTAGAAATGGCGGCCAACAGGCTGTGCTCTGTGCTGGCACTATCATTTAAAAAATGTCCATGAATGGCAGAAAAAAATGGTGCCGTCCATACCAAAATCCAACAGCGTCATCCTATCAAATAAGGGAAGGTGAACACTCTGAAGGGGCCGAGAAATTTGAAATAGACAGCGAGCTGTCTGTGAATGATCGTCTTAGAACTTGAGGCAAATCAATTATCACTCAAGGATAACCAAATTAACAGATTTATAGAGAGCAATGTCGGCTTGATGGTTCACTACTCTTTCAATCAAAGAAGGCTTATTATTCGGAAAGAATCGAAGAATGCGGCAAGGATAATAAGACAGCTTTTTAGACTCGCCAAAAACCTAATTGGACAGAAAGGTGAAATTATCCTACCAAGCTGTAATTCTGAAAAAGACTTAGGAAGCAAGTTCAGTGATTACTTTCTGAATAAAATCAGCTCAACCAGGAAAAATATTGCTGAAGTGAACACCTCTGCTGACATTGCATTTGATGGGGAACCATTGGCAAAGTTCTCACCAACAACCCAGGACGAATTGCGCAACATTACCATGACCTCGCAATTGAAGACCTGCGAGCTTGATCCACTGCCTACAGATCTATTAAAGCAATGTCTTGAAGCACTGCTTCCTCCGATTACCTCTATCATGAACAAATCATTGGCTGAGTCAAAGGTTCCATTATGTTTCAAGAAGCACATGTCAGACCATTGTTGATGAAGCCTGGAATGGACAAGGAGGAGTTGAAAACTACCGCCCAGTTTCAAATCTGCCTTTTCTGTCTAAGATCTTGGAGAAGGTTGTGTCCCAGCGTTTAGAGGTTCATCTCCATGCAAACAGTCTTGATGTTAAATGCAATAGGCCTACCGCATGGGACACTCTACTGAAACTGCCCTCCTACGTGTACATAATGACATAGCTTCTGCATTGGATAACTAGTGCAGAGCGGCCGTGCTTGTCGGCTGCATTTGACGTCATCGACCATGGTATACTTTATAAACGTCTGGAATACTCTTATGGAGTGACTGATACAGCACTATGCTGGATACAGTCTTACCTGAGTGAACAACGACAGTGTGTTGCCATCGGATCTTCCACCTCACATGATAAAGTACTAGATTTTGGGGTTCCTCAAGGGTCGGTGTTAGGACCACGAAAATATTGTATGTACTCCAAACCGATTGGAGAGATTTGTTGTCGCCATAGTCTTCGCTATCATTGCTATGCTGATGACACACAAATTTATATGGTTATCAAACCACAGGACAGTTGGAATACAGTCTCAGAAAGTATGGAAGCTTGTCCGACAGTTATCAGTATCTGGATGAACGCCAACATGCTTCAGCTTAATCAGGAAAAGACGGAACTAATCGTCTTTTCCCAAAGTGTCGGCATACAATGGCTCTCCAGCTCAAGGTCGGTGCCAGAACTATTGAGACTGTTCCAGCTGTTAAAAACCTAGGGGTATACTTTGATAGTTCTCTGAACATGGAGAAACAAGTGAACGCTATTGCCAAATCCTGTTACTACCAGATCAGGAACATCGGCTGTATTCGGCAATTTTTAACTGCAGATGCATGCAAGATTTTGGTGCATTCACTTGCTACCTCTCGGTTGGATTATGGTAACGCCCTTCACTGTGGTATATCTGACAAACTAACTAGTCGTCTGCAGAGGGTCCAGAACACTGCAGCATTGCTAGTTACTCATACTCAAAAGAGAGAGCACATCACACCTGCGCTTTATTCATTGCACTGGTTACCTGTACGATACAGTTGCAGTGCAAAGTTCTGGTGTACACATACAAGGCACTGAATGGAACAGCTCCTCAGTACCTACAGGAGCTTGTTACCCTGTCCCAGCCGCCACGATCACTGCGGTCGGAGTCAGAATCTTTGTTGTGTGTCCCAAAATCTTGTATGGTGACCTACGGAAACAGATGCTTTGGGAGGGTTTCCACTACAGTACGTTGCGGAATAGCTTACCATCTGCTATTAGAAAGTCAAATACCCTGGCCAAGTTTAAGATAGACATCAAAACTCACCTCTTCGGTTCACGTCTGCATTTTAGAATCTTTGCAAAGACATCATGTAAATTCTAACCTTTTATTTGTTCAATTATGTGCACATTGCTTGCTTAAATGCATAAAAGTGAGTGTAAGCCTTTGTTTTTTGATTTTACAATTATAACCATTACTATTATCCATATGTTGTAAAGCGCCTTAGAGTAATTTTACAAATTTATAATATAGGGCTCTATATAAATGTTGTATATTATTATAATTATTATTATTAAGTCAGGGTTGTACATAGAGGCCAAGGATGCAACAAAAACATCTGTAAAATTTCAACATATTCGACTTGAACCTATTGCAAGTTGGTGTGGAAATAAAAAACGTAGCCGTGTGTTGTTCAAATTTAATTTAATTTTCTTCCGAGCGATTTAGATTTTAGGATCAAGCATCACTGTCCCACTTTCCCAACGGTGTAGATTTAAGAATTAAGGATCACTGTCCCAACGGTTTAGATTTTAGGATTAAGGATGACACTGTCCCTCTTTCCCAACGGTTTAGATTTAAGGATTAAGGATCACTGTCCCAATGGTTTAGATTTTAGGATTAAGAACCACTGTTCCACTTTCCCAATGGTTTAGATTTTAGGATTAAGGATCACTGTCCCTCTTTCCCAAAGGTTTATATTTTAGGATTAAGAACCACTGTCCCACTTTCCCAATGGTTTAGATTTTAGGATTAAGGATCACTGTCCCAACGGTTTATATTTTAGGATTAAGAATCACTGTCCCACTTTCCCAACGGTGTAGATTCTAGGATTAAGATCCACTGTCCCACTGTAGACAAACGTAGTCCGATTCCAATTTGTTTGTTTTTTTCCTTCATATTAGATTTATGATACATGTTTTGATTTTTTCATGTTTGGAGCCTCCGGCGAGCAAATATGAAAAATTTAAAACGAGTATCATCAATCTAATATGCAGGCAAACGAATGACAGATTCTTTTTATCATATAATACATAGTATACGGTGATCTGAAACGAGTATTTTGCACTTGGCCGCTTCATAATTGTGACGTCATTTCCGGAGTGATATTGCACACGTTACAAAAACATAATTTGTGTGATGGCTTTATGACACTGCATAACACGGTATTCATATGATAAATATGTTTTTCTACATGGTTTATCAGTTCATGTTATTAAATGGAGAAATATAACAGCTATTGGTATATAGATGATACAGTTTATCACAGTATTTTCAGTGTTAGTCGTTAGCATGATAAATTCATTATCACTGGTTGTCAGTATGATAAGAAGTTGAGAACGACTTGAGAACTTAAGGATCGCCATCCCAGCCAGAGAAAAACACTAAAGAATTCCACTGTCGTTTTTCAGTGTTAGAGTCACCTGCCCCAGATTACCATTTCGACAATGTTGTTATCTTCCCTTAAATAGATTTCGTTTGAATTACGTTTCCACTACAGAGTTTGTCCCTCGAGTTGAAAATCTCCAAAATGTGGGCGAAAGTTTATTATTGTTGTATAGTGCGATATTTTTTATATCACAATATGGTATGTTGTTATCTGTATATAATGTGAAAGTTTATTGTTTTGTACAGAATGTAAAAGTTTATTATTGTTGTATATAGTGTGATTTTTTATATCACAACATAGTATGGTATTTGTACATTATGTAGAAATGTATTATTGTTGTGTAAAGTATGTGAAATTTTGTTATTGTTGTTCATCTGTGACATTTTTGCTATGACACAGTAAAGTACATTGTTATAATGTTATTCCTACATAATGTGCAATTTTGTTTTATATTGTTTATTACATTTGAAGTAATTTTATTGGTTGGTAATGCCTACTGTATTACATTTGTATATAAAAAGTGCTATATTGTATGTTGTAAATTGTATAATTATTGGTACAAATGTAAGAGTTGTCCCTCTTTTTTGTTTAGTTTTTTTGTATCTTTATAATCTTTTGTATAATAAGGCCGCAAGATATTTATTTTTTGTCACCCATATTTTCTTTTCGTTGTCCTAAACGTGTTGCAATGGCACTCAGAATTTTATTGATTTTACAATAATACTATATAAAACAAACAAAAATGCCCGTTGCATGAATGGGCATTTGTTTGTTTTATATGGTATTATTGTTAGAAAATTACTCAGTTTTTGTGTTTTATCAATATTGACATTATTATTTTCTTTGTGTTATATTTCTAATAAACCATTGTTGCATCAAATAAAATGTATTCTGTTTCATTTTGCTCCATTGAATTTTTTTATTTTTTTTTAAATCGAAATTTCATAATATCCCAAAAAATCTGAAGAAACTTGCACAAGGATAAAATTATAGAATACAGTGTGATAATCTATAATTATCACATAGCTCGCACAAGGATACAATTATAGAATACAGTGTGATAATCTATAATTATCACATATCTCGCACAAGGATAAAATTATAGAATACAGTGTGATAATCTATAATTATCACATAGCTCGAACAGGGATAAAATTATAGAATACAGTGTGATCATGTATAATTATCACATAGCTCCCACAGGGATAAAATTATAGAATACAGTGCGATAATCTATATCACATAGCTCGCACAAGGATAAAATTATAGAATACAGGGCGATAATCTATATCACATAGCTCGCACAAGGATAAAATTATAGAATACAGTGCGATAATCTATATCACATAGCTCGCACAAGGATAAAATTATAGAATACAGTGTGATAATCTATAGTTATCACATAGCTCGCACAAGGATAAAATTATAGAATACAGTGTGATAATCTATAGTTATCACATAGCTCGCACAGGGATAAAATTATAGAATACAGTGTGATAATCTATAATTATCACATAGCTCCCACAAGGATAAAATTATAGAATACAGTGTGATCATGTATAATAATCACAAAGCTCGCACAAGGATACAATTATATCCAGCTGCAGTGGCCTTTTACTCGCATGCTTGTGATGAGAAAATTGTTCTCAAAACAAATCCTGAAAACACAGTGTGATAATCTATAAGTAAAACTGTAGTACATTGCTTAGAGACTACCACAGATCAGTATCTCATTCTATTAACTCATTCACCCCTATAGACACATTTTAACTCTTCCAGTTCAAAGGTTGGGATAGTTCATCATGAAATTTCAGGGGCGAGCGAGTTAAAGTGACCTTATTATGATCAGAGATCTAGAGTGCGAGTCCTGGTAAGAAAACCCTCATCTATTTTTGGTATACTGGGAAAATCTTGGAATTTGAGAACAGTGGCCTTTTTCCAGCAATTTTTAGTCAATATCAAAATTAAGAGTCGCCATTCTATGTAAAATTAAATGAAAATTGGAACATTGAGGTCAATTTCAGTTTTGAGGGGTCAATGGCCCCACAGTCCCCTCCAGGATTATCCTTGGTATATGTTGTCTATTATTATTCCACTCAAGAGCCCGTTTTTATCCTATTATCTGCCAGATGTTCGCTGTTGGCTATTAGAATGTGTTGTCAAGATTTTTTTATCTTCAGGTTTTCTTTATGCAATGCATGCTCAAGTTTTACAGTCAATTTATACCCAAGTCCAGTGTACCTACCAATTATTAAATCTACTGTAGCTCTGAAAAGGAAACATCGGCGTCGGATTTATAGATGAATGGCAACCTCCTCAAATTTAATTTGATTCAATTTCCTGCATATATTTCGTAACCACTCTTCAATTTAGTGCCAACAACCTAATAGTTATGTTGACGATTTGTTTTACCAAATACACCGACTTGTTGCTGAATTGTTTTGACACTTGATCTGGCGAGTGTCCCATCTGTGCTAGAACAATGCAAAAACTTAGGTCTTTCACATATGATGATCGCAAAAATATAGTCCGCTTCAATTAAATTCTCTAATTTTGGGTCAAAATTCATTTTGTTTAGCCCAAGTAAATCGCCCATTATACGGTACATCTGCTAATTAAACACTTACCCAAAGACTGTATTGTAGAACAGACTCGTGGTCATAATTGTTATTGTCAAGTGTATTATCTTTGGCCATGTTGTTATTACCGCGACCTCCTCTGATGTTGTCCCATAGCATGGTAACGTAGTTGTCCCTATCGGAGCGAGACTGTTCGTGCATCTGACCAATGGCGTGGCACATCTCGTGAATCACAATGCTGTTCTGTAAAAATAACAAGACCAGTAACTACTGCTAAACAAATCTCGCAAGTATTTCAATTTCCATACCCTCAATAAGTTCATCCTACTGAACCGATATGTTTTCCTGAAAACCTACTTGAAGTATTTATTTACGAAGTTATCCAATTATTTATTATAATATTGCGATTAATTCTAACAATGAAATTTGTTTCAAGCCATTTTATACCAAATTATTTCTTCTTGCAAAGTATATTAAAGACAAGAGGCCCAGGGGCCTTAATAGCTCAACTGGTATTTTATTTTTCAATTTAAAACCTGCTGAGTACCATTCAGGTTTATCAAAGGAGTACAAGAAACAAAGTTGCAAAAAGAACTACATATAAATCTGTTTTGGTGGGTAAGACAACAAGAAAATGAGTTTCCATGTTATGTCCCAATTTCCCTCTATTTCCCCTATTGGGCTTCACATGCACCTTTTCCTTTTTATACAAATTAAACAAATTGAGTTTTTTTCCCCTAAGCATGCTTCAGATCACATTTGGTTTAAATCCCTTCATTTGTACAGAAGGGAAAATATTTTCCTTTATTTACCCTAATGGGTCCCACTCATCTGCCCCAAAGAAGGGGGTCCATATACCTCAGTTGAAACAAAATTGATTCTTTTGTCCCTAAGCATGCTTCAGACTGCATTTGGTTTAAATCCCTTCTCTTGTATAGTAGGAGAAAAAAATCCTCTATTTCCCCTATTGGGCCCCGCCCCTATGCCCCCAGAGGGGCCACACCCTCCGTTTATACAAACTTGAGTCTTCTTTGTCCAAAGATGCTCTAGGACAAATTTGGTCAAAATCCTTCAATTGGTTGAGAAGAAGAACATTTTTAAAGATTTACCTTTTTTCCCCTTATTTAGCCCCGCCCCTCTGCCCCGAGGGGGGGCTATACCGTCCGTTTATACAAAACTGAGAACCCTTTGGCCAATGATGCTCCTGACCAAGCTTCAGACTGCATTTGGTTTAAATCCCTTCACTTGTATAGTAGGAGAGAAAAAATCCTCTACTTCCCCTATTTGGCCCCGCCCCTCTGCCCCCAAAGAGGCCACACCCTCCGTTTATACAAACTTGAGTCTCCTTTGTCCAAAGATGCTCTAGGACAAATTTGGTCAAAATCCTTCTATTGGTTGAGAAGAAGAAGATTTTTAAAGATTTACCTTTTTTCCCCCTATTTGGCCCCGCCCCTCTGCCCCCAGGGGGGTTATACCCTCCGTTTATACAAAACTGAGAACCCTTTGGCCAATGATGCTCCTGACCAAATTTGGTCAAAATCCTCTGAGCCATTCAGGACAAGTAGCATTTTAAAGGAAAAAGTTGACGGACGCCGGACGCCGGACCCGGACGACGGACGACGGACGCTGCACCATGGGATAAGCTCACATGGCCCTTCGGGCCAGGTGAGCTAACAAGAAAACCGCATGTCTGCATTTTGGTTTTCCTTTCAGACCCAACATTCGTTATTTGTAACTTAGGACACTGGGGAACCTTCATGGGGAATTTGAGCAAGATCCCTCCAGTACTTTCTGAGGAATAGCGATAACAAAAAAAAACTAACAAGTTGACCGCCTGTCCGCATCCTGGTTTTCAGATCAGTCAAAATTTAATATGCATAACCAAGAACTAAGAGGAATTCTTATGTGAAATTTTAGAAAGATCCCTTCAATACTTTGAGCAATATTCAATACGACCACCTGCGGCCATTTTGGTTTTCCAATCATCCCCAAAATGCAGAACATGGAACCACGGGGAACCTTAATGTGAAATTTGAGAAAGACCCCTCCTGAACATTCTGAGAAATAACACTAACAAACTTTCGTTCTCAAATTAAAGATGGCTGGCTGTCCGCCATCTTGATTTTCCTTTCAGTCCCAACATTCGTTATTTGTAACTTGGGACCATGGGGAACATTCGTTATTTGTAACTTAGGACCATGGGGAACATTCGTTATTTGTAACTTAGGACCATGGGGAACCTTCTTGTGGAATTTGAGAAAGATCCCTCCATTACTTTTTGAGAAATAGCACAAACTTGATCTTGGTGAAATATGATCATGGTGAAATATGATCCAAGCTTGAGGATTCTGTCAAAATTAATTGAATTATTGTGCAGAAACAATCAACAAAGCACAGCAAAGTATGCAAACTAATTAGGTGCAAAATTTACACTAACCTCTCACTGAAAAAACTTATGTAAGAATCATGTCCTAGTACATTTGAATCAGTTTGAGCCTTGGGTAAAAATTGGACGCAGGTCTTGGTTGCCATTTCTGCTATTGCTGTTTCGATAACTGTTTTCTCGGCACTTGCTGAAATGTAAATAAATGCATGGTAAGTATTTTGTATTGTGATTCAAGACTATCCCCCTTATATCAATCAGTACACTAAATTAAGAGTCAAGTTACCAATTTTTTTTTAATAACCAAGAGTGCAGTCAATTTACTGTATACTGGGAACCTTCATGCTGTGTACTAATTTATATGCTAGCATTGTGGAAGACAAGAAAAGGCGAAATTTAAAAAAAGGTTGAAAGTACAGAATTTTCATTCCATGAACAAGTCATGCATCAATACCTCCGCAAATAACAATTATCTCATCAAAGACTTGAGATGGCTCAGTAATTTAGTGACAGTAGGTAATAAACTGAAGTCAAAGATTCAAATCTTGGTCTTTTTCAACCGCAATTTTACTCTCAGAACACTGCTTTTTATTTTTCATCTTCATTAAACTTATAAATTTCTGCAAGGTATGTTTTCAGATTTTATTTGAAAAAACTAAGCTATACCAGAAATAAAACAAGAGGCACAATGGGCCTGCATCGCTCACCTGGTATAAATCTCACAATTATAACCTTAAAAGTGGACTAAAATAAAGCTACAGGCAGAATATCAGTGTCTTGACTTAAGTCATTCAGAAGAACCTGTTTAACGATTTAAACACATTTGACCCCTGTGACCTTGAAAGTCAAACATGGACTATAAATTGTACAAACTTTATAGCCTTCATCCCAGAATGCAACTTGTCAAATATCACCACCCTAATGGCCCTATACCTTTTGTTAATTGAGAAGATGACTTTTTAAAATTTATGCACTGTGGACCATATGTGACCTTGAAAGTGTGTCAAGGTCATTCACATGAACAAGCAATCACCCTGGAAGCTTAAGTTATTCAGAAGAAGTCGTTTTTTAGTGTTGTTAAGACAAATAACCCCTGTGACCTTGAATATGGGCAAAGGTCATTCATTTGAACCAACTTTGTAGCCCTTCATGCCAACATACTTCAGGCCAAATATCATCACCCTAGGCCTCTTGATTATTTAGAAAAAGTTATTTAAAAGTTTAAACATATTTTACCCCCCTTTGACCTTGAAAATGGGCAAAGGTCATTCATTTGAACAGACTTGGTAGCCCTTCATCCCAGCATGCTACTGGTCAAATCAGTCTGGGCCTCTTAGTTATTCAGAAGAAGTTGTTTAAAGTAAAAAGTTGACGGACGACAGACTGACGAAGGACGCCGCACCATGGCATAAGCTCACTTGGCCCTTTCGGCCAGGTGAGCTAAAAAAAAAAACTGTTTTCAAAGCAGTTATTTTGTTGTAATGGAACCCATGAATTAATGCAAATTGTTTTGTTCATTCACTATCATAATAAACCAAATAATTCTTCAAAAATAAGGTAATTTATATTGAATTCATTGTCTTGGGAGGAATTACTTTGGAGGATTGCTGTCCCACTGCACCGTGGGTTTTGGTATACACAGTAACCTCCCCTTAATTTCTGTAAGGATCCCTGTCCCACTGCACCGTGAGTTTTGGTATGCACAGTAACCTCCCCTTAATTTCTCACTGTTCAGCCAGTTTAAGAACAGTAGCTTAACATGAAATCATAATAAGGTAATTTATATTGAATTCATTGTCTTGGGAGGAATTTCTTTTAAGGATTGCTGTCCCACTGCACCGTGGGTTTTGGTATGCACAGTAACCTCCCTTTAATTTCTGTAAGGAACCCTGTCCCACTGCACCGTGGGTTTTGGTATACACAGTTACCTCCCCTACATTTTTTGGCTATAACTGTAACACAATAAGGTCAGGTCACTCATTGTCAGCCATTTAGAACACTAGCTTAACAATGGGAAGTCCAGGGTCTGTATTCATGAAATCATTTTCAAGCTCAGGCATGGATTCTGTGCTCAAACCAAATTTCTTGCAACTCGCATAAATCATGTCAAACGATCAAAAGTCAAATGCAAACTTTGAAACAGTATTTAGCTTTAAGTCTCTTCAAATATATTTTCCAAATCATTGACAAACTAAGATTATTTTTATTTATTCATAACAGGAACAAGTAAGACTCGAGCACAAAAGCCATGCTTGAGCATGAGAACGGTTTCCTGTACACAGGCCGGGAAGTACTGAGGGTCTGTATTCATAAAGCCATTCTCATGCTCAAGCATGGATTCTGTGCTCAAATCAACTTTCTTGTGACTCGCTTAAATCATGCAACAACCAAAAGATCAATTGTAAGTATTGAAAAAAGATATTTTGGCTTTTAGTCTGTCCAAAACTGTTTTGATTATTGAGAAAAAAAATCATTTTTTCAAATTCATCACGGAATAAGAAAATCGCCTTGAGCACAGAATCTTGAGTTTGAGCACGAGAATGGTTTCGTGAATACAGGCCAGGGGTTCAAATCCCTTTCTAGCCCCTATCAGATTTGTACACTCGGGGGAAACTGATGTGGATTGTATTTTGATTATTTTATCTGTATTATTGCAGAGTCAACAAGGTATAGTTTACTTTTCAAAATGATTTATCAAAGCAATAAATGCATATATGGTGTATTAAAAAAGTACTCACAATGGACCAATTTCTCAAACAGTAGCATATGTTTAAAGGGCAGAATGATCATGTCGCAATTATGATCATCCAAATTTTTGTCAATTTTTTCCCCCTCTTAATTTCATCCGGGGGTCTGACCCCCTCATTAAACCACGTAATACTGTACAACGCGTTTGTAATAATGTTTATTATGGTATTTGTGTTTGTAATTTTGAAAATTTTGCGACACATACATGCCAAAACTTTCCGGTGTAAAATAGGGAGATCAGTGAAATTTTGCAGCGAGATTTGGTTGAAAAAGTTTTTTTTTCTGCTGAATTAGTTAGAAATTAACGAGACATTGAAAACAGAAACAATATTGCATATTACATTGTATGATTTCATTTATGTTATTCTTAAGCCTCTAATTACTTCGTTGGAATCTATATGGAAGATTTATGGATACTTTATAAGAATTTTAGGGAGGTTTACACATGACAATGTATTACGATCCGGATATAGCCATCAACATTTAAGAGAAATTATATCCCAATAACTCCACTATGAGCAACTCTGTACAACCATCGTTATTGAGAATATGTTGAAAAAACAAAAACCGACATTTAAATCTTACAAGATTTTTTCTGAAATAACTCTTGCGAGTCTTGCGCTCAAATCATTAGTTACTGCATGCATGTCAACAATAAATCGATATACTTTTTACTCACAGAAATCACTGCTGATTTCGTATGGTACAATGCCATTGGGCCAAAAAACGTTCGTGTTAGTGATAAAATTTCTCTTTTCCTTGCCTGGCTGGAAAACAAAAGTGGAAAAAAATCTTAAAAGTTACTGTCAAATATTATCTTGCTGTACAGCATTTATAGAATGTTTTATAATTACTGTATCAATTAAAAAGTATTATAAATCTATAATTTAAATATAAATCACTTACTTTGTGCGAAATAAAAAGCAAAGAAACAATAAGAAATTCAATACTAAACAAAATGCACTTACAGTAGGTCAAGCACATGTCTCCTTTTTTAAACATTAAAAAAAAGAAATTCTGGTGCAAGAAAATGAACTACAGGTATAGCAACAATGCCATAGAAAAAAGTTTTCAGGAATATTACAAGTATTCTTGGTCATGTGATAAAATGTTACTTTAATTTGCTTCCACATCCGAAGGAGTAAAGAAGGATGTCCAGAAAGAGTAATCGGCTCTGCAGAGCCTTGCAGAAATGTAAAGTTCCTTTAGTCCATTGATCGTTTATTGGCCTAACAAAATACCGGACAAGGCCGATGAGTCTGGATAAAACTATTGTGGGTGCACATGGTTCTACACTGCAACAAACAAAGAGGCCTTACATTTTCAGACTCTAAGCCTAATTCTACTTTCTGCTCATGTGTCAGCCTGTGGGAGTCCATTCCATCCTTCTGTGCTTTGTAAGCTTGGTTCAATCCAGCACCCTAAAATATAATGGAGGCAATACAAATGTGAAATGTTGCATTTCCGAACAATTCCACACAGAATTTAATACAGAGTAGCCTTCCCTTCAGTATAACAATCTGAAGTCTGGGGTTCAAATCTCTGAACATATTTTTACACTCTGAACACTTGATTATATTTTGTTAATTTCATACTTAATCATTTTGCAAAAAAAAAGTCCCACATGGTATGGTTTTCCTTTTAAGAAATAATTTCAATTTGTTAAATCCATGGTCATGCAGGAATATAAGACTCTTTCATGCCTAAGAGTAAAAGATAGGGAAGGTGTAAAATGTGTACGAGCAGTCCCAAATCGATGTCGATAATTCAGCTATGCTGTAAGCGTATGTACAATAGTTGTTATATATGAACCGCAAGGACTTGATTCAGCTATGCTTCGTTAAATACTTGGTCATAGATGTGAGAGAGTCTATGAGCCCCCTCATCCCGATTTAGAACTGGCCCACTGCAGTGTATTCCAAGTTTTAAACAAAGTGTAGGTGAATAGTCATTTCGGTACATATATAACTATTGTACATATACGTTTCCAGCGTAGCAGAATTGACATCAATTTGTGGACAACTCGTACACATTTTACACCTTTGTGGGCATACGCTTCATTGGTCATTTGTCTGATGAACGTGACAGTGTACATATCGCACTAGTCATCGAAACGTCACATAGAAACACTTATTGGTTGTGTAACAAGAACATTTTCATAATGTTTCTTTTGGGTTCTGAGATGAGGAATGTAGCCCCATCTTGCCCTACCCCCTGACCCCCACCCATCTATTTTTAGTAAGCGACCTTGATGCAAGACATTTTTAAACCACTATTGCACATCAGCATTTATGTATATGTAAGAGGTCAGAGAAAAATAGTCAAATATGAAGAAAATATTGGGAATATGCAAATGTACTATTGGGTGAAGAATAATGAGACAGAACCTCTACAAAGATTCTAGATCTTAAGTTCCCATATTTATATATAATCATGATAGATTATTAGTTGCATAATTAATGTTGTAAAAAATTATGATCATACCTGTTCTTTAACTCCGTTCTTCTCGTCCAAAAAGCTGTTCAGCAGTGAAAACAGTTCAGGGTTATCTTCAGGTTCAACTTTCTACAAATTTAAAATAGTCATTACAAATATTAACTCATGATTCCCCCCTGAAGGCACATTTGAACTCTTCCAATTCAAAGGTTGGAATAGTTCATTATGAAATTTCAGGGGGGTGAATGAGTTAACAATACAAATGTTAGAATGACATAAGCATTAGTCCCACTGACAAAGTCTTCCAAAAGTTGTAGGTCACAGGTGGGCGTTACGATTGTTTTTTGTTTATTATACCCCTATTGTTATTTTTTCATACATGTAAAGGTCATGCATGGTAAACTTTTCCGTCCAGAAATGTTTCATAGTTTCCGTTTTTTGGCGGTGACAGGCAGTGGTACGGAGATCCTTAATGTTAGAAATATAGAACAAACAATAATTTCTATACAATTAACTCTTTCACCACTGTAGACCATAATAGACTTATCCATATCAATGTATGGTAGAGTCTACTAAAGTTACATAGAGGTGAAAGGGTTAATATGATAAACACATGGTATGTCAGAATTACAACCTAATTTAGTGAATAAGGTTGAACAATAACATGGGTACATTATAATGTTAAATTCCCTTCATCAGAAGATGGAAACATTGTATGTGTAACGTCAACTTCTGTACGTCGGAATATATTTTACTTATTTGAACTAAACAAAGCTTCTGTGATTCCATATGAAATACATTTAACACATAAATATTGATAAATTTGGACTCTTATAAACAAATTGATACTTGCTTCGTAATGCAAAGTCACCTGAACGTGATCTTAACGGGACGTTGTTGGATGTTCTATTGTCATATCGGTAAACGGGAGTGATGCAAAAATCTAATTTTAATTAGACTTGCAAAAATTTCTGAAGAATTATTTTTGTATTAAAAGTAAGTGAATAGCCTCACTCCATCAATCTCCGCCCCATGTCCACCATCTGTGTCCAACAAAGATCTTCCTTGTAGGTCTTCAGCTTCTTCCAATTCTTTTTCCTCCTTTCCCTGCGACTGAAAAATATATATTGATCACTTAATGTAAAAGCATCAAATTTTTACAGGGTTAAATTTTTGTGAAATTGTCCATTTAAAAATCATTTGAATTCTACATATGTTTAATCTGGAAATACAAATATATCATAGAAAGCGTAGTAAATTTTTAAATCAAACTTTTCTAATCAAAAGAAAACTAGTTCAAAATGTGATGTGTTGAAATGTAACCAGTTTGACTTTACACTCTGCATAATGTTATTTTACAGTGAAATTATCAACAGATGAACCAGCAGTTATAGTGGAAATGTTGTTCATTACATTACCGATCCAAATTATTATATCATACGGCCTAGTCCGAATTATTCTGACGTTTTATCGACTTTTATAACGGTCCGTCGTCGATTAACGTCAGAACTCCGGCCCTCTATATATAATATGTCGGAAATAAGCGAACCGTTTTTATTGATTGTATTGCTAGTTTGAGACATGTTATGCATGTTCATCTTGTGCATAAATAGATCTTTCGATCCGTGTGCGACGTGTGTGAAAGTGATGATTTGTTTCTAAAATATCAGTTTGAAGAGCGACCCTGGCGCTGGTCGCTTATTTTCCGCATATTATAGAGGGCCGGAGTTCCGACGTTAATCGACGACAGACCGATATAAAAAGAGTCGATAGATAAAATGTCAGAATAATTTGGACTACATGCATATGGCCATGTCATATATATGGTAATAAACTTGTGTAACAAAATTAAAACCTAAAGGTGCTGCGATTGGTGAAAACCTTGAGAACACTCCTACGCCACTACAGGTGCTACATTGATTTACTAGTCTATATACCACATGACACATTTACTGTTATTTTAAATGAATTGGAAATGTTTATTCTGTCATTATTATTTGTATTACATTTAAAACTGTTCATTATCAAAACAAATCTGGAACTACTTTGTACAGGGCGGAATGACAATACGTACTATGATCAGAGTACTTTGGTTTTGCCCCATTAAGAGTCAGCCGATATCATATAATTGTGTTCCGACGTTTTTGTCAAATTATGAATGTTATGTGATAAGATTGAATCTTACACTGTTAATTGTCCATGTCATATTGAATTCATTAAAGTAAAACGAGTTCAAAAATTTGATACAATTTAACACTTGGCTCGTGTCATATGAAATTATGAAACTCCTTTAATAAATTATAATTTATATAGACATGGACACAGGTGCAAGATCCTCTATATATACAATATAGCTTAAATAATCCAGCCACCTAGGGTGTATTCATTTATGTCGAACTGATTTAAATGCCACATTTCTGGGTTTAAATCCTGGCGGACCTGCAACTGTTTATGTACACCTTGGAAGGCCTTGACAAGGCTCGCCCGAAAGCAGCATCAGATTACTAGGTCCGACCTTATTTCATAAACCAACAACAACTCTGGTCCGAAGCGAGCCCTTCATTCCCAATAAAAAGTGACTAGATTACTGTGACAAATTTGTAAAGAATTTACGGCCAATATCAGTTGAAATCAATCTGGATATATGGTGGTACAACCAGCATTAAAATTGGCTTCCTTAACTCATTCACCCCTAAAATTTCATAATGGACTATTCCAACCTTTGAATTGGAAGAATTCAAATGTGACTGCAGGGGTAAATGAGTTATTGAAGTTCAGGTGTACATGCATGTATGAATATATTTAAATCCAATTGTCTTACTTCCTCTTGGTCACTTTTTTTGTTGTTAAGATTTTTTTCAAGAAATCCTCTGGTTTCCGAGTTCTCAAACAAGCTCAGGGAATTCTCCATCTCTTCCTCCTTGAAATCAATTAACAGAAATGCATTAAACAAGTTCTTCAACTATAAACCAAAAGAGAACATGGTTATCTCCCCACATTCATCTGCTACAGTTCAAAATCCAAAGACAGAACTGGATTATCTCCCCTTCTCAATATGAACTTGATTATCTCCCCGTGTTCATCCACTACAGCTCACAATCTAAAGACTTAATTATCTCCCCTTAACCATACACCACATATCACACTTTATTCATGTGCCACAGCTCAAAATCCAAAGAGAGCTGGATTGTCTCCATTTGGTTGTCTGCTATACATCTTGAAATTATATTTAAATGCTTTGTGTATTACTCAACCTGGTCATGCTTCCAAATACAATTTGCTGTCGTGATCACACAAGAGTACGCCAAAGGCAGGATTACAGACATTATCTCCCCTGATCAATCCCTACTTTGGCGGGTTTACAGACATTATCTCCCCTGATCAATCCCTACTTTGGCGGGTTTACAGACATTATCTCCCCTGATCAATCCCTAGTTTGGCAGGTTTAAAGACATTATCTCCCCTGATAAATCCCTACCAACAGGTTCTTACAATTCTACAAATATGTTTATCAAGTTCATTGGCTTGGTATGCATTCCTTGACATGACTAAGTATAGGCTCGCTGGACAGTTTAATGGCTTGGTATGCATTCCTTGACATGACTAAGTATAGGCTAGCTGGACAGTTTTATTACAAATAAAATCTGTAATATATAGATGTATGTCTCAATTTTGCAATTTTGTTCACATGAAAGAATTCGCCGTAGGGAATAATTGGAAAGAAAAATTCAAGATTAGATCCGACTGCTTGTGCTGATGACTGATTTTGGACTTTGTGCAAATGAAATGAGATTTTCTTTCCTGGCAGATTAGTGAAAAATGAATTAATAAATATACTAGATTCATGCACATTTATAATGAAATTGGTACATTTCAACTTCGGACAAGTAGGTCTTTGAAAGCCCTTTCCCAAAGGACGAAAAACTATTTGTATGGGTTTTAAATCTTGGGGATGACATCCCCCAACTATTCAGAATTGCGAACATGCATGTACAGAAAAAAACCCATTAATTTTAACTGGTTTTTTCACGCCATGTTTACACGAACAACAATCACAAAATAGTTTCACTACATGTATTCAGATTTTTTGTATTAACTTACTCGAACTTGCATATTCCTGGTACTATTTAAGATGAACTGTACTATTGTTTCACATTGACTGCTCATCACTGTTTATATGGTGTGATATGTTAATTTTCGTGTTCTTATCTTGGAACGGCCTGAACTTTGACAAGTTTCTTTGTCTGCACTGTTGTAATACTTGTTTGCCCATACAGAAAAAAATAAGATAATGTGCACCTTCAAAACTAGTAGCTTTCAACCTTCACAGGGCTCTTCAGGTTTGTTTCACAAAATACACAAGGTTGGTGGACAAACTAGCACAGTTTTACTGTGACCTGATGAGACTAGGTCTTGGTTTGTTTGAATCATATATACTTATCAGATATCCAATTTAAAGATTTATCCTTCAACCAAAATCCCCTCAAAATATGAACACGTTATTAGCTTGGCTGTTTCCGAGATACATGCATATATTTCAGAAATCAACATTTATCTTTGCAGAAAAATTTGACAATAAATACCTCGGCAATGTCCAATTCTTTGAATTGTTCCGGTTCTTCATCTTCCTCCACATTTCTAAGTGTACTGCGGAGTTCATCAATATGGGTATCGGCTAATTTTTGGAGATTTTCTTTCCGCAAAAGCTCTATTATTCTCTTGATGTCATTTTTTTCTTGATTTACTGTAAAAAAATTGTTTTGAGTTACGTATACAATGTACATCAAAATGCAATGAAAAGAAACAATGTGCATCTTGTTAAATCCATTCACCCCTAAACTCACATTTAAACCTTACCGAATTAAAGTCTTGGCAATGTCCAGTGAAAATATGTAGGGGTGAATAAGTTCAATTAAAACAAAGTCCTTATGACACTTATTTCAAGTTGCACATGTATATTCACCACTATTCAGTTATAATTTGTTGGGAAAATCATATTCAAAAGTTGTGGACTAGTGAATCACCTAACCTAACTGGTCCTTTGGGCTTGTGAAATTTTTTATTATAAAATAAGAATATTTCTTTTTAAAATTTAGAACACAGCTTAAAATATAATATATTGCATGATAATTGTAAAAAATTCCTAAAACTTCACCATATTTTTATGGCAGTAATTACTTCATAAGCCCCTACAGTCGATTACTTCTAATGTTTCGTGCTGTAGATTGTGCGATGTGTCCGTATCAGGAAATCTTGGACTAGTTACATTGACGAAGGACTAGTAAATAATCTATTCATCTAGTCCTGTGGACTACCAAGCAAAAAAAGTTTCTGTCTAGCCCTGAATTAGTCCTCAAAATTAAGGCGAGTCTCACAGGTAAAGCACAAATTTTAGTATCAAATATCTATATCCCAACAATCATCGATAATATGTTCTGCCCTTTTTTTGTTAAAATTAGAAATAAAGTCAATTTACTGTCAATGGACTAGTTTAAAACATTTAAGAGATCCTAGAAAAATCTTGGAAGACCGCCATAGAACGATCTTTATCAGATCTACAAAAGATGATCTTTTACCTTTGCTCTTTATGTTGATTACATATACTATATTTACTCATTCGCCCCTGAAGAGGCATTTGAACTCTTCCAATTCCATACCCAAACCTGTGTCGGAAATCCTAAACGAGAATTTGGTACATTAAGTTATTTCCTTAATTCTTGTAATGCTTAGTGGTGGATCCAGGTTTTTTTCAAAATGTCCAAGCCTGGTGTCTGGACCAGAGGAAACTCAGGCTACATTCAGTATGTACCTGCGGAATCCTGTATATCCTCTCGAGGGGGGATATAAATAAATAGCAAGTGTTTTCTTTACAAGTCTTACAATAATTGCAGTATGTATCTCAGCCGCTGCAACTACAACTTCCCCGCTCAAGTATAAACCGGAAATGGGGTGGTAGGTTAATCTTATACGCCGTTCCCCGTCCCCAACTAAAACCCCGTACAAGGAATATAAAGATACCTCAATATCTCTTTATTTTTAACGCGGTAGTTTATTAAAAAGAAAAATATACAATAATTTCAAACATTATTTTTTAAATATGGAATTCAGTTTTTTTTTGTTTTTTTTTAATTATCTGATATTTTAGAAATTGACAATTGTATTTCAGGGGGTAAAACTTTGCCGCAGTCAACCGTCAAAATCACGTTTTTTCACATATAATTAAAAAATTAGAGAGAAATAAAATTATTTTCATATATATAGAACAAAATACCCAGGGACAGTATATCACTATACGTCCCTGAACTACCTTACTGTTTATAATTATGCACGTTTCGTTGAAATAAACGATATTTCACATGAAATTGGCTTGGAGATATTACCTAAATGATCTTTATAGTTCTGGTACGGGGTTTTTAGTCCGTGAACGGCGTACAAGATTTATCTTTACAATAATTTTGATCCCAATGAGAGTTGTCTACCTTGAACTTTTCAGAGGGATATAATTTATACAATTGCAGCTATTTTCTTTACTATACCAAAAACGACGGAAATAAATTAAATTACTATATCAAATTGTCAATTTACAGTTCTTTTATGGACAACATTTCTCTCAATCATGTACACGTTGGACATCATTCCATAGGCCGCATACGCTAGTATATTTTCATATCCGGTTAGGCTGCCGTACGTTATCACGTGACCGCACATGCACTTCGTTTTATAGGGATCTTGATATTTTACAAACCACTTCATTTCGTAAATTGATGTTTGTAATTTACCAGACAACATCACACAACATCACACCGGAAAAAAACTGGATTGGAAGTAATTATATATATAATCACGTACTTAGATCCAATTCCGTGATATAATAGGCGAACATGGATTCCGGGAAGGATGTTTAAGTATTTTACATATTTATTTAATGATCACATGATGTTATCTTTTGTTATTGTTAAATTGTCAAAGTTTAGACATTTGGTATGCAGAATTTTTATGTGTAAGCCCATTTTTTTTTCTATGAACGCAACGCTCCTGCCATGACTAACTGGCATAGCTTAATTATCTATTGTTAAAACAGATGGCAGAACAATAATGGTCGCTTCCACGTGCACTGGGACCTGAGAATTTGTTACTTCTGACTGTATACATGGACCTAAACTAAGGTGTTTTAGAGTAATTTTACACCTTTTTGGGGATTTGTGGCATTTTTACCGAAAGTGAATCTAACACCGGGGCTCGGGGAATTTCTTTTAACTCCTTCGGCGTCAGAATAATACAACAAGAGGTCCCAGGTGAGATCCTTATAATATTTGAGACATTAAAATATCAATTACCACGGTTACATAATTGCCGCAGTGAGCCACGGAATGTATAATGTGTCTCCATATGATGCATGTTACATGTTCCCTTACGTGTAGTCACGTACCTGTGCGTGTACACACTCCGACACCCTATACGCTACGTTCCATATAAAATTATTTTTGAAATGACCCCGTCTAGGTATACGTCTCCTTGCTCCGTGCTAGGCCTACCCCAAAATGAGAAAGGTCTATTAATATTAGTACTTATATAGGCCTAACGATCCTCGAAATAATTAGATCGGACGAAAAATGGAAGTTTGATGTCAAGTTGCGTAAGCATGTTGTGATTAAAGAAATTTATTTACCGTCGCATATTACAAACAAAAAACTAGTCCGAATTATTCTGACGTTTTATCAACTTCTTTTATATCGGTCTGGCGTCGATTAACACTGTCAGAACTCCGGCCCTCTATAATATGCGGGAAATATGCGACCCGCGCCCGGAGCGCACTTCAAACTGATATTTTAGAAACAACTCGTCACTTTCTGGTCAGGAGACAAGTGTTGCCATATTAAGGTGCGTTTGAGTTATGAGGTCACGGTTTATGATTGCTGTGTGTGATGTGTGGATGGCTTTATATACATGGTTCTGGTCAGTAACACTTCGCCTACTAATGTATTTCTGTAAGTACACGTGTTCATCGGCTCTGACGTAACCTAAAGCTATATACTCCAGCGTAATTTGTGTACAGTTAAGTGAACTGGACATCAATCCCGGACAAACGAATCTTAAATTCAAGATAAACATCTTAGCTATAGCGGTTGTACGGTCAGTTAGATATTAAAACCTTCCCAGGCAAAACCCACTCGACCAGAAACCAATGGTGTTCATTATGACAAAATCTTTGTAATTCAAGAGAGAAAAGTTTTGAGCGTGAAAGTCGATGACGAATTTAATTATTTATCAAATATTTAAGTAACTACTTCAATCTTTCTTTCGGCTCGAGTGGTTACTGTTAAGTTGAGCACGTGTAAATCAGCCATGTCGACTCCAGTTGAGCGCGTGTAAAAAGAAATTTCAGATTTTCTTCGTGCTCAACTGGACTTGCCACATTGTCATATTTATAATAATTTCCTCTAAATGCTATATAATTATTTTATTCGTTAGTCTGGTCAGCAAAATCCAGTTTAATTTAGAAACACATCAAACGTATTGTTTAAATAAAAGTAGCATCAGCTGGTTAACTCCGCCCATACCTCGGTTGTTGACGTCACACAATTGCGACTCGTTCGCGGAAAATTTGCATATCTCCGCCCACATATGTAGTGTGAATGTCACCGTAGACTGTTAATAATCCTTGATTTTTCATTGTAAGGTTGTGCATCTCATGAAATTATCAAGACTAAACAAATGTAATACATAAATTATAGCTGTATTAATTGAGCTATATTTTCTAAGCTTTCAGTTTCAAATATAAAGAAAGTCGTACAAACCAGGGACTACACATCCCTGTACAAACCTACAGATTTTATAGTATTGCTGGCTACGAAAAGCATTCAGTTATAGGTATAATTATATTTTTTGGATAAATGCAAAATTACCGAATTTTTTAAATCAACATCTTTTTTTGAATAATACTTTTATTTGGCGAGTTTTGTAATCGAAATAGCGATAAAATCTTTAAATGTGACTGTTTAGTTTCCTTGTAGAAAGAAAAATCCGTGAAAAATAGCTAAAAGAACTTTTCAGATAGGTCGGTCAAGCTATTAAAGGTCTCTATAGCATTGCAATCATGAGTATTCCGATAGCTTTTCGTGTGTATTGCGGCGCCCACTGAATTGTTTATTCCCGGGGCAGCTGTAGCTAATATAGAGATCACGTTATCGATATTAGGTATATCATGTACACGTCATTGTGATGTGTTCACCGGGTACTACTCCGTACCACAGGGACCTAAGCATTTGTTACAGCTATATTTGGACCTGAATTTAATCTAAGGTATTCAGAGTAATTTTACACGTTTTGGGGGTTAACATAGACTTTTGGTAAAAATGCCAACCCCTATGATGATATAATATCTCATTGGGACTGGCATTCTCACCAAAAATTGATGTAAGCCCCTAAAACGTGTAACCTTACTCTGAATACCTTATATTTTAGGTCCAAATAAAGCTGCAACAAATTCTCAGATCACTGTGCTCCGTACAATTAGTTTCTGTATACTCGTTGTGAAATCGTATACCATAAGCATGGCTTTGTTGCACCAATACACATAAAACACGTCCATGATCAGCTGTTTATGATAGGTAAAATAATAAAGTCTACCTTGATAAAATAATACAATAATACATGTATTGTACGATAGTGACATGTAGGAAAGATATAGATTGTTTACGTCACTTACGATCGTGTACCCCAGATAAACGGAAGAACGTAAGGGCAATTTAGAACAAAAATGAATTTCTTTTGTTCTTTTACAATTTCCTTTGTTCTTTTATTGTGTTCTTAACAAATTTCGAGATACTTGATATTTAGACTTCATAGCTCTATATCTCCACTTCATAACTCAAAATTTTGATTTCGAAAACAGGTATTACACATACAATTAATATCACACATATTTCACATACTGTACGCGTTTACTTTAGACATAACTGTATTTACTATAACACACATTTACACGTTTATTAACTATAACAAAAGTATAACATGAGGTATTTGCCGTCATTTAAAATTGTCATTGCTTAATGTAAATACATTCGAATGAGTTCATTTTTTTTTCTGCAGTCACAATACATATGACCCAAACTAAATATCAAGGAATACCTGTCTTTTACTTTGAAATTTCGAGTTAAAAGCTCGCAATTTCGAGTTGGAAAAACGAGACTGCAGGTTACCATCTCAAAATTTCAAATACATAAGTCGAGAATTCTAGTCAGTAACGCGGAAAACGAAATTTATTTCGTATGGCCCTAATGCTATTCGTATACAAGAGTTCTCAATCAATTCCTTATAAAACCTTTGTTCATTATTTCATATACTCGTTGGAAAGTAATGCGAAACCGTTTTCGTGCGAACAAAAAATGAACTATTTTGATCCCCACGTCGTCTTTTGCTTGCATGTAAAACATACTTAGAAAGAACATAGAATTCATTTTTATATGAAATTTTGTCTGGAAAATAACATTAATGAGGTTAGCCGAATGCTCTAATGGCAGCTTTCCGGCCAGTTCCGTCAAGAGCTCGTATTCAATCGATCTTGGCGGAATTTGCCGAGGTATTGCGATCGAAAGGTACTTTTATCAACTTTCCCACGACCTTTTAATGACCTTTTAAACGCATTATATAAAATAAGCTAACGATTACGTGGCACATATACCTGTTAACAATTACTTAATTAGTTTTTTTTGCGCTCACGTGATCCTGTCGACAGCTACCACTTCCGAGTGGAGATAATTGCATCTATTGTTATCATTACTAACAACTTTAATTTTATTTCTAAACCAGCAGTCAGTCGAGGGACGATAAACGAGAGTTGAAGCAACACGGCTGGAGGACCTGTATCGTTATACTGCATTTGTAATTTTACACAAAAAAGTGAGAGAAAAAAATCAATGAGATCAATTGATCACAATACTTCGCCAGGGAAATAGAAACACTAATTTGCTTATTAAAACCGACCTAGTGGAATATAAGCATCATTCTATACGATTTCTGACTAATTATTTTGAATCAAGCTGGTTTATTTTCCGTTTCGTTTACAATTAAAGACGGTGGACACAGTTTTTTTTACTTGGTGTCGACAAACATGCCATGTGTTCCGTGCCTTAAAAGTATATTGTCAATGTCAAGTAATACGTCAACGTTTCCGTAGACACGAGCATTCTTTGTCACAAGGATATCATTTTACTACATACATATATTGCACAGGTGAAAAACAGCACCTGACGGCTGGCTCGAGCAGACGCGCCTTGCCAAGGTATACCCCGCGTTTAGTCAAACCACGGACTTGGATAACAAGAATCTTAATTCCGTGGTCAAACACAGTCTACACAAGTGTGACAGGTCCACTGTCGCCTAACACAGGGCTTTATTCATGCAAAATTGAATCTATTATTTTAATGGTTATGATACCAGGCCAGCACTAAACGTTAAATAGGCTTTTTGCCTATTTGATATTCTTTATTAGTAAAAACGATAGTGTCTTGAACAAATAACTTGAAGCCCTCATCACACGCTAAAACATACCTTGCACAAAAAACACAAAAAATAACCCAAACTAATCACTGTAAATAACCCCCTTTTTGACGCCTCACTGATAGGACCCCCTATCATTATAAGGGGGATAATCATCATTATTGATGGAGCCCCTGTACGCTAAAGAAGAAGACACAGGGACATGTGTACATGCGACATAAAAACGGGCGTCACCGTATGTGGCGTCCTGCATAGGTCGCATGTCCCTGTGAACGAAACTGCAACGTCGAGAACAAATGCTTGGCGATAAAAATACGTTAACATAAAATTATAACAAAACTTACCCTTTTCACCATCGCTCTGGAGGACAAATGCAGACATACAATGCAAGACTGCAACGAAACAGAGAACTCGGACAACCGACATCTTTGTCCCTTTCACTTGGGTCCGATACACCTGTTAATGATCTAAATCCGAACTGCGCGCGAGCTATTATATACCCGTCGCTCACGCTCGATTACCGATTACTTGCTATCTTTCATCTGATTGGTTGCATCACAAATGGAGACGTTTGATTTGTCAAAACTCAGTCTTCTCGCCTATGCATGCTGCACGTGATGATCACCTCCATGCAAATACTGTTTCACCTGTTTACAAGTTAGGTGATATTGGGCCACAGCCAACCTTTATACTTGTAAGGCCTGAACGTATACTATTTACAATTCTATATCTAAGTGACTGTCCTGGCCGTTAAATCTGTACGTCAAGACACACGTTTTCCACAGACAAATATTTGAATATTGCTTTATTAGCAAACCCAATGGAGCACACACATGGTAATAATTCAAATTATAATGATAAAATAGTAATTAAAAAAACACAACAATAAACAATAAATATTTTTGAATTTATATAATTTTACTAATTATTTATGAAATCACATATCTATTTGGATCTAGATAGGGAAAATAAAACCATTTGCATATTTTGAAAATTAACATATTTCTGGGCTTATGCACGTTTTTTTTTCCAGATTTAAATCTAATGACATAACTTCATTTCCCGAGCTCTTAACTCATTTCATCAGGTATGGAATAGCCATTTTGAGAGTGTGCATACAGATCTGCAGAGGTTTTTGTTGTATTCAAACTTGTATATAAGCGAAATATTTACAGAAAAATCTTGCTGCGTTTTATCGCAATTTGAAAACCTGTCTATATAAGACAAGGGTTTGGTCATTGTAACAAATAGCGAAAGAGAAAAGAATTAAAATCTGTCTGTACAAAACAGCTGTGATATCATCATTAAAACGCCCTCTACCGGACAATTAGGAAATCATAATTTCTTTATATACCGAACAAAGATGATATCATTACTATAAATAGCTCTAACAAACGTTCATGACATCATAGTCGAAACCTCTCTATACCGAATAATGGATTGTACATTACTGTAAATAGCTATATCGAACGTTCATGATATCATAATCGAAACCTCTATATATCGGACAATAGTGTTAATTACTATAAAAAAGTTAAACCGAATAATAATGAGGACATTCTCATGATCCCTCTATACCGGACGATAATGAGATCATAATGACAACTAACATACAATGATATATAACAATGGTGTGATCGTAATATCAATAGCTATAGCAGGTGTTCATTATATCATAATAGAAACCTCTCTTCACCGTACAATATTGTGATCACTACTATATACAGTTGTTCATAAGATCTTATTCAATACCTTTCTATATCGAATTAATGTGTGTTCATTGCTATAAATAGCTATATCGAACACTCATGAAAAATCACTAAAGAGGCCTCTTTATACCGGATAATTATCAACTATTATAAATAGCTCTACCGAGTGTTCATGAGATCATAATCATAATCCCTCTAAACCGGAGGATAATGAGATCATAAAAGCAACTTATATACTGAACAAATGTTCATGAGATCATAAGGGAAACCTCTCTATACCGGACAATTTTGTGTTCATTACTATGAATAATGATACCGAACGTTCATGAGAAAATAATCGAAACCTTTCTATACTGGACAATGTTACTGAAAAAGTTATATCGAACCTTCATGAGATCAGGATAGAAACCTCCCTACACCGGACGATATGTGATCATTACTATAAACAAATGTCCATAAGATCTTAATCAGAACTTCTCTATATCGGACAATGGTGTTACAATGCTATAAATAGATATAAAGGACGTTCATGTGACCATAATCGAAACCTCTCTATACAGGATTAGTGTCTCTATTGATATGAATAGCTACATTGTAAATCGAACGTTCATGAAATCGTAATAGAAACTTCTCTATACCGGATAATGGCGGGATCACTATAAATAACTATATTTTATCCCGCACGTTCATGGGATCATTTGAGAAACCTCTCTTTACCGGATAATGGCGTATGCATCACTAAAAAACAATTTTAGGAACGTTCATATGACTGTTCTATATCGAAACCTCTATACACTGGATAAATGATGTATTTATCATTATAAATAGCTATATCGAACGTTCATGAAATCATAAAAGAAACCTCTCTATACCGAATAATAGTATATTCATCACTATTAATAGCTATAAAGAACGTCCCTGAGATCATAAAATGAACCTCTTTATACCGATTGAATGGGGAATTCATTCCTAAAAATAGCGTTAACAAACGTTCATGAGATCATAGAATAAACCTTTCTATACCGGATAATGATGTATTTATTACTATAAATAGCTATAACAAGGATCATGAGATCATAAAAGAAACCTCTGTATACAGGATACTGATGTATTCACTACTATAAATAGCTATAACAAGGATCATGAAATCATAAAAGAAACCTTTTTATACAGGATAATAATGTATTCACTACTATAAATAGCCATAACAAGGATCATGAGATCATAATAGAAACCTCTCTATACAGGATACTGATGTATTCATTACTATAAATAGTTATAACAAGGATCATGAGATCATAAAAGAAACCTCTCTATACAGGATTGCTATAAATAGCTATAACAGGATCATGAGACCGTAATAGAAACCTCTCTATACAGGATGATGATGTATCCATTACTATAAATAGCTATAACAGGATCATGAGACCGTAATAGAAACCTCTCAATACAGGATACTGATGTATCATTACTATAAATAGCTTTAACAATGATCATGAGATCATAATAGAAACCTCTCTATACAGCATAATGATGTATTCATTTCTATAAATAGCTATTACAAGGATCATGAGATTATAAAAGAAACCTCTCTTTACAGGATAATGATGAATTCACTACTATAAATAGCCATAACAAGCATCATGAGATCATAAAAGAAACCGCTCTATACAGGATAATGATGGATTCATTACTATAAATAGCTTCAACAAGGATCATGAAATCATAAAAGAAACCGCTCTATACAGGATAATGATGTATTTATTACTATAAATAGATATAACAAGGATCATAAGATCATAAAAGAAACCTCTCTATACAGGATAATGATGTATTCACTACTATAAATAGCCATAATAAGGATCATGAGATCATAAAAGAAACCTCTCTATACAGGATAATGATGTATTCATTACTATAAATAGCTTTAACAAGGATCATGAGATCATAAAAGAAACCTCTCTTTACAGGATAATGATGTATTCATTACTATAAATAGCTTTAACAAGGATCATGAGATCATAAAAGAAACCTCTCTTTACAGGATAATGATGTATTCATTACTATAAATAGCTTTAACAAGGATCATGAGATCATAATAGAAACCTCTCTGTACAGGATAATGATGTATTCATTACTATAAATAGCTTTAACAAGGATCATGAGATCATAATAGAAACCTCTCTGTACAGGATAATGATGTATTCATTACTATAAATAGCTTCAACAAGGATCATGAGATCATAAAAGAAACCTCTCAATACAGGATAATGATGTATTCATTACTATAAATAGCTATTACAAGGATCATGAGATCATAAAAGAAACCTCTCTTTACAGGATAATGATGTATTCATTACTATAAATAGCTATAACAGGATCATGAGACCGTAATAGAAACCTCCCTATACAGGATAATAATGTATTCATTACTATAAATAGCTATAACAAGGATCATAAGATCATAATAGAAACCTCTCCATACAGGATGATGATGTATTCATTACTATAAATAGCTATAACAAGGATCATGAGATCAAAATAGAAACCTCTCTATACAGGAACATGATTTGTCAGACACTTTGGTATGGATATTGTGCATTCATGTTTTCAAATTTCATATTTTTATTTCACGCAGACACACGTAAGAGTGTAACAAGAGGTCACATATGTGCAAAAAATTAAGACAGTAGAAAATCTCAGCAAGATGTGAGAAGATTTATTCAGAGTATTTTAAGCATTTAAATTATTTTCGAACTTTTCTAAGAACCAACTTACATGTGACATTACACGAACATTACACACACAAAAATAAACCTTTCATCTTTGTAATATTAGGATACTTATAATAATGGTTTTGAATATGCAAATTTCTAAGTTGACATATTGTGGCGTGTTAGCTAAGATCAATTCGATCCTGACGAGGTAAACCACCAATAGTCCCTACTGGTATGGATAGAAAGATAAAAGTTAGATACACGAACCAATATGCTTTTTATCTTTTGGATTTAATTTGTGTATATAACGATGTGATGATGATGAATATGATGATGATGATGATGATGATGACGATGATGAAAATGATGATGATGATGATGATGATGATGATGATGATGATGATGATGATGATGATGATGATGATGATGATGATGATGATGATGA